AATAATCACTCATTGCTAACCAGTTCTTTCTGGTTACTCCGCGTTATCCGATTAGTATGTAGATGCTAAACAAATGTTCGCAAAGAAAGATATGCGCATACATAATTTTATAGTAGATCTTAATTGGTCTAATTAGTAGTCGCTACGATATATCATGCTACCCAAAATTATTTTCAATTTTTTTCCCATAATAGAAGCACGTGCAGATAAAAAGTGTACCATTATTGTCATGAACACGACTGGATAGTTACAATTGATTTACTAGAGTCTTTTTGTAACCCCGTGTCAGACAATGGTATTAAATTTTCTTCCTAATAGTCCACTCATTAATCTAAAGCGACAAAATTTATCTGAGATATTAACAGAAGAGTAAAACTTACGATTTTAGTCTGACGATAAGTGGTGACTATTATTATTGATATACTCCCTCTGTCCGAAAATATGGTATACATTCAGTTCGTTTCTGTTAAAAAAGTGACCAAGAAAATTACTACAATAACAACAAAATAAATCGACACCCGCTGAATTTAAAAAATAAGAGATATTAGAAAGAATAATTAAATAAAATAAATTATTTATTATGATAAATAATAATAATCTATTATAATAATTTAGTTTATTTATTTATTTATTTATTTATTTATTTATTTATTTATTTAATGTTAAATATAAAATTCCTCATCTTAATAAATCCAAACTTAGTCGTGAGGGAAGGTTACCAACGAGATTGGTATGTTCTCCAGAAGCTCTAAATAAAGTCCCATTGCATATAAATTGAAATGTATTGTCGTTATAATAGAATCATTAAATAAAGTTAAAAATGTATACCATATTTTTGGACGGAGGGAGTTTTTTTTTTGCAGGCATAAATAGTGTAATGTAATAACTTTACAGCGAACTGACACTTATCTATTGAAAATAAATTGATAGAAATTGGATAAATTTTGAGAAATTATGCTTTGGTTTGACAACTTTAATGACAAGCTGTATATTATATTTGTTATAGTTGTATAGTTATAAATAGAGTCGTTACAGAATCGTAAAATAATACAATACTGTACGATTTTACTAGGAACCGTATAATAAAATGCAGTCAGTGCTTGTTTCTGAAAATGAACTATACAATTTTATGAACTATGAAATGTGTTTATGCCGTTATCAAAGATCGATTTGAAGTCGACAATAATTATCACTGCCTATATAATACCGTTTGCGATATTTTTGTGGGAAGATATACATTTTTTGCCTATTTTTGAAGTAGTTTCGAGTACCTCGTAGTAAACCCAAGATTTTTAGCAGCTTTATCTTTAATAGTTTTCTAGATATTTACGCTTCTACATAGGTTGTTTTGGTAGTTTATCTCAAATGAAGATAAAATTTGTTAATATTGGGCTCCTGAAGTTGATATTGTCTTTAATAATTTTCATAAATGAAATTATGTAGTCGCTATTGGACGTTTCTTGTATTAATGTAGGTTTTTAAACCCTATTGGCAGTTTAAACATTCATCAACACCATAAATTACGTCGAAAATCCACTAAGTACAGCACTTTCTGGATGATTCTAGTACTTTTGTATGTAGAAGACTCATCTATGTAAAGGTACAGAATAAATTCCATTGTTTTGTTCAATACCGTATTAAATTTGATCTTGTTTCATATGCTTGAGGCAATTAATGATAGTTAAACTAAAAGTCAATAGAGATATTTATTGCCTTATCAACATCAATTTGTTTGAAAGCGTTGTTCACAAATGTAATGAGAAGTAATTTTCTAAATTGTTTCGCATTGAGGTTTCTCAGTAGATAAAAATCTGTTTGTTGGTACGATTTCTATTAGTAGCTTTGTCGTAAAAATAAAGTTATCAGAAATGAATGATTTTGTTGTTTATATTTTGTTTATTTCATTTTATTTTTGGCACAGAGTATGTTTGGTAAAAATATTTAAGTTTATTTAATATGTAATATTATCGATGTTTACTTTTTTTTCAAACGGACGTCAATTTTCTTCGTCATTTATTTAGGACTATGTTCGAGTAAGATATGAGTACTTTATATGCGTTTTAAATTGTTGTTTTTTTAAGACATCTTTGAAATTTCAACAATTTAGAATTAGTACGTTTCATATTTTGGACCTTAGTTTTTGTTCACCCAGTGAAGATGGCAGGTATGGGTCAGTTGCGTGCCACAATCAGAAACAGCTGTGGGTGGTTCTAATTCCACCGGACAATTGCACGCAACTACCTGAGAGTTAAGGGACAGTTGTTGCCTGTCGTAGTAATTTACGTGGGTGTTAGTCACATTAAATTGAAAACGGAAGTATTCTGAGAAATAATTTAAATTTCAGGCAATTACAAATTTATTTATTAATCATCAAATATGTGTATAGACCTAAAAATCTTTTTATTGCTCTTAAAGTTTCTACGAATAGGTTCATCTCATAAAAAATGAAACAGTTCGGAAATTACTTTTTTTTTAAATCTATAAGAAACATTTTTAACAAAAGCAAATGTGCTAATCTTTTTATCCTTGCCCGGCCAGATTTACTTGGAACTACAATGTAGGTGGCCTTTTATCAGCTACAAACCAAGCTTTATAATCCCCTACATCCGAAGTGGTGTCATATCTTCGAAATAAATTTGAAGTGGATGCTTGTGGTTGCAAATCAAACACTTTTTTTTTTCTCGGTGCCTATTTAAACGTTAATTCTATGTTTGTAATATCTTGTTTCTAAAGCAACGAATATGTTTCAAAGCTGTGTTTAATCGGGTTTAAAAGTACTTGCAACTTCATTTAAATCAATGATTTAAGATACCTATATTGCAGTAGAACAACGTTGTCCCAAGACTCCCAAGGACACTTTTATTGAATTTCAAAGAACAGAGTGTATGGCAAACCATCTAGATAAACATCGTTATAATTAACAGTTTTCATGAGTTTAGCTATTTAAAAGCTTATTTATTTTCATAAAGTAACGGTTATAATTTTTTGACTCGTTGTACAATAATTAATTGTTGTTATTAATGAAAGGTCACCTCTAACCTCAAATTTGTGGCAGTTATTGGAAAGAAAGTTGTATGTAACAAGTGGGTGAATAGATTTTTTCAGTCGTGCATAAAACTTTCCACTTTATCTTTCACCTCCACATAATGTAAGTGATTATCTCTGCTTTAACAATTACCCTTGTCATAAAATTCCCTTTTTTATTAGATACATTTTAAGTACTTAATTTTTTGTTTTTTTAATTGAGGCGTATAGACGACTATTTTACAAGTTTTGTGTTGCAAGTGTTATTGTTGTTTTTATAAAATCCATATAAATTAATGTGTCAATGGAATTAAAATGCTAATTAGTGTTCATACCACATATTTATTTTTTTTTGCGTAAGTAATTCCATTGCATCATCAGGTTAAAGATAAAACAAAAATATTATAGGCAGATTCAAAATGTGCATGTGTGACAACAGTTTTACTATTACTGTTTAAAATTATCATGTAGTCATGCTCACATAAATCTCATAGAGATGACAATCGGAATTTGTATTCATGCTATTGATTTTGTATTGCTTTTGATACAACATAAAGTGAGTTTGCACGGGAATTATGTGATAATAAATGACTGTATATTCCAGAAATACATTATCCGTAAAATAGTTAGTTAGAATTATTAGTACACTGCGTATTATAAATTTGTAAACGTTAGCTCACTGCTAAGGAAAGTTGGTTAACACCATGAAAGAAATAATATTTGAAGTGTAGTTGTTTAAAATTGGCGGGAAGCAGTTAACTACTAAATTTATTTTATCGAAGTAAGGTAGATAATTTTTTTTTGTTCGAGTTTCAATTCAGTATTGATGTACATTTCTACATACATGGCCGACTTCATTAATATACACTAACGTGTATATACGGCCGTTTCAATTTTTTAAAAATTTGTTCCCGCGTAGTAATCCATGGGTACATAAGCATACGCCACCCACGGCAATGTCTTGAACTAAACTGTCACTACTGTCAGAAATTTTCTTTGACAATTTTCAAATCCAAAATAATTTTGGGCATGAATTATTATCGTTGTTAATAAAACTAGGTCTTTTTAATATGGGAAGAAAGTGTATGATTTGTGATTTGTGGTAATACACAGAATCCACTTTTTGGAATTCCTGCGGAAGTAGATCTTAGAAACAAATGGTTTGAATCACTTTCAAAATTTTGTGGTATTTCATAAAACAAGTCCCTCAAAAAATATTTTATTCGAATTATTTTAGATCTGACCAAGATAAACGATCATACTGTTGTGTGTTCCAAACATTTTGCAACAGAATGTATTGTTAGAAGCGCAAAAAGTACTCGTCTTAATAAACAAACGGTTCCGTTTATATTCGTATGTACATAAAAATCTACGTACCTCACATAATCTATAAATCTTTGTCATCATTCCAGAATCCTACTGATCCTGACATTTCTAGTACCCAACCAACAAATCCTTTTTTAGAAGACACTCATCCAACTTCCGTTTCCTCATTCCAAAATGCTAATAAGGAAACTAATGTTTCCACATGTGATGATTTAAGTGCAAAGGATAAACAAGAACTTAAAGATCTCAGGTACCACAACAAAGTTTTAAAGCAACAATTGAGTAGAATGAAATGAAAGAATTCTGAATGTTTATCAAAAATGAGAGAGTTAGAAGAAAAAGTAAAAAATTTGGATGCTTTAAAAATAACCAAAATTATACAAGACGCAAACAACGAAGATGAAAAGTCAATATTTCTTTTGGACTTGATAAAAAATCACTATAAAAAAATACCTAGGTGGTCAGAAATGTCTCTTCGTCTGTGTACTGTCTGGAGATTTTGTTCGCCTAAAGGTTACAGATTTTGCCACAATAACTTACTAAAACTGCCTTCAAAATCGACTATATCCAGATTCCTTGGAGACTATCATGGTCAAAATAAGCTAATCCAAGAGCGATTGTGTGCAGAAATTGGTCGATTAAAAAAGCCAGTTGAAAGGATCTGCTCCTTAATAATGGACGACATGTCCATAAAAGAAAAAGTTCATTACTGTAGGGCAGAAGATCGAATTTATGGCCTAGAGACAACAAGTTCTACTCGTGTTGGAACTAAGCCAAAAGTAGCCAACAAGATGCTTTGTTTTGTGGTGCAGGGATTGAGTACTAGATATACAATACCAGCAGGATATTTTTTCCACTCGTCGTTAACAACTCAGGAATTATATTTATTAACAAAAAACATTTTACAACTTCTGACAAACTGCGGCTACATTGTGATTAGATTTGTTACAGACAATATTTCAACAAATGTCGCCCTCTTTAAAAAATTTGGAAACGGATCACTGAAAAATTCCATTAATCATCCCATTCTGGAACATATTCCACTATTTTTGAGTTTCGATTTCTGCCATGCTCTAAAAAATGCACGAAATTTGTTTTTAGACCATGATATGTATTCTTCTCAAGGCAAAATTTCATCATGTTACCTCAAATTATTGTATGATTTGCAGAAAGGAATGCCAGTAAAGCCTGTCAGATATTTAACAAAGAAGCATCTATTTCCATCAAACTTTGAAAAAATGAATGTCCTAAGAGCAATCCAAGTTTTTTCACCTACTGTAACCTCTTCTTTAAAATTTCTAAAAGCTCCAGGGGACGATCGCTTTGTAGACGCTGATGCCTCTATATTCTATATGGAAAACATGTACCATTTTTTTCAGGTGCATAATGTTTCAAGCAGAGATCACTATCTTCGTTCACTAGATAGCAGTATTGCACCATATGTGCATATTTCAGATGAACGTCTTGACTGGTTAAATGTCACATTTCCAAAGTATATTGACGATATCCAGAAGACTTCTGTAGACGTTGGATTTAAAAATTTATAAAATTTTTGCTAAGCCAGGTTGGCTTCTATTATGTTGTAACGCGATCCTTTAGCTCAGACGCTGTAGAGGCCATGTTTTCACATGTAAGACTGAAAGGTGGTTCTAATGATGCCACAGATGCCAGAGCTGCAGATTATGCATTAAGGCAAATTCTTCGTTGTGGGATTGTTAAAGCTTCCCATTCCTCAAACACTGCTGAAAATGTTAACTATATTAGTCCTGCAAATATTTTAAATTTACAAGAAAACAGAGAGAGCTTTACTAAGCACACAGAACAACTCATATTTCCAATTGAAGTACGAAGAAATATTCACAATCTTAAGAAGTGATAATAATATAGTAGCTTTCTTGGCAGGATACATCATAAAAAAATTAGAAGATTTATTTCATTGTGATGAATGTTTAACACCTCTATTATGTACTAGCATTCCAGGTCCTTTGCTACAATTGATTGCCATTCAAAACCGAGGAGGTTTAGTCTATCCCAAAGATATCTTTGTTGGTATTATTCAGCTGATAGCTGAAAGCATCCAGCAAATGTTGCCATTTCTACAACATGATAATCCTGGTAAATACATACTTGAAGAACTGTATCCACACCTTGTGCAAAATCCTATTTTCGTCTGTGCAAATCACAGGGATTCTGTGTGCAAATATATAATCAAAACGACTGTAAAGCCAGTTCTCAGCAATCTTTGCTTGGAGACCACAGATTCTGTCAAGAGATTTGCATTAAATTTTAAACCTAAAAGTCGAAAAGTATTGAAATTGTAACTTTACATTAATATTATTGTTTTACTTACTGTGTTTTGTGATAAAATTAAAAAAAAACATTATTATCTGAACCAAACTTCTTTTTTTATGCTTCGAGTAAAATTTGTTGTCAATGTCAGTTTCAACTTGACAATTAATTTGACAGAAATAGCACGAGATCTGTCGTGTGAGGGCGCCACAATATGCACTAGGCGGCGGAACATTTTTTCTAATGGAAAATCAAAAATTGAAACGGCCGTATATACACGTTAGTGTATATTAATGAAGTCGGCCATGCTACATATGACCAGCGGTGTCATCTATTTTCGTAAATCGTAAGAATGTCGCCTGTACAGTCCCTTACGTTGTTAATAACACCTACTCAGAAAATTACCCAGACAATTTATCTAATCGTGCGTTTGTCTATTTGCAACCATAATTAATAAGTACTGTGCGTACCCATAGCAGTCGCTATTTATAACCCCTGGAATTCCACTGACGATCATTAAAACCCATCATTCTATTAAAACTGGACACAACCAAGTGAAATCTAGTTTCTTACTGTTAACGGAAATTACAAAATCCAGGTCTATTGTCTCCACCCTGTACAAAAATTTGCTCACCAAAATATCGCGTTATCAACAATGATTTAATTTCCTAGTGTCGTTCACGTGCACGTTACGATGCAAAACGAGTAATAAATAAACAGACGACCCCGCAAATCTCCAAGGATTATCACATCACATGCTTGCGATGTCTACGTAAAGTTGTTGTACCCAAGAAAGAATCCATGTTTTTTTACAAAAAGCACGTGTATAGAGAGTGGAATTTAAAATGTACAACCAACGAGTACCAGCGAACTCGGAAACGGCGCCAATGTCGATGTCTTGTAAGACGGCGCCATCTACCGACAACTTATCAAACTAAGTTGTTCTAATAATGGGTAATGGAATGTGCAATTCCGTTGGGTCTAATGACTTTAATGACTGTGCATAGTAACGGAAACACTGCTGCAATTATTCTTTAACAAAAAATCGAAATCTTGGAGATTCCCACTCTTACGGTTGTCGCAACTGAAGTATTGATCACTAACTCGTGTACGAGGAGCGATCAACATATAAAAAAAATATTGAAATAGCAATTATTCATGTGATCGATTCGTTATTACTGGTAATCACTCTTGTTTTGTAATTTTATATAAGCGATAAGATTTTTTAATTGTTTGTTGAATATTTCTTCCCCTTCCGTGCACGTTAGTCAACCATACAAACACGCTCAATGCATGCGCGTTTATCAAAAAACCCAATCCGCAACGGTATTTGGAAAGGTCGAGTAAAATATAATAGTTAAACTTTGGTTGCCACCCGGAGTAAACGTCGACCTGTTGGTATCTACCTGCGTCAGTATTTGGAATGATTTCCCCAACCATGGTGAATACTAACCACAATGGCTCCACTGACCTCGTCAAAAAAATTCAGATTAGGGTATCGAGCGAAAGTGCAGGTATGTCGTAAACAGTTTTACTAACATTTCGAGGTTTTCATCACGTATTGGTCTCCGATAAGCTCTAACGTGCTGCGAAAATCAATAATTTTCTAATACCGCAATAAATTATCCTTATCGTTCGACAGTAAATTTCCCCATCGTTTTTTTGGTTGCCTACACATTTTTAAACTTGAACTTACTTAAGTCATCCCCACTCCAATGTTAATTAGATGGCTGTAAGTACTAAGTACGTCAACCCGGAGACAATTACGAATTGTTTGTTACATGTGCAGTTGTTGTTCAGAGTCTAACAATTAACAGAAAGAAGAATTACAAGATTGGTTGTTTTTTTCTAAGTCGAAGTGTCTGCGCATAGCGTCGTGTATCAAAGTTCATTGTAAGAATTATTTATTTCAAGTTACATGGATGTTTTATCATTGTTATCTCCCCACTTCAGGTGTTTAATACCACGTGGCTGTCTTTTCTATTTATAAAAATCACAGTAAGGTGTAGGCTTTCAATGAAAAGATGTGTGCCTGCATGTGAGGCTATATTTGTACTTAACAGTTGTGTCTGGTTCGACGCTTTCATGGAATGTGGATTTAAGGTTCCTCTATACTTAAGTCAACATGGAATATTTAATCGCTAGTTATATCTAGTGAGTGTTTATTTAGTGGTTTAATCTCGATGATAATCGGTTTTGGGTTTCAAAAAGTGTAAATCCTTTGTACGATGAAGAGGAGGCGATCGCAGTTTCAGAGGGCCATTTCACAAAGAATAGGTATCTTTAGTTAATTCTCATATAATTTTATAGCCAATGATAAAGCCGATTGAAGGTTAAATAAACTAAACTTGAAAGTTCATCACGGCAGATAAATTAGTCCACGTCAAATGTTATTCTTGTTATTATTAATATTGCGGTCAAATTTTTTTTACATGTTGACCTGTTTTCATAAATTTATTACTTTGACATTCGTTTGTTCCCATAATAAATTAATAATTGAACTTGTATGACGTTCCAATATTCACATACCATAGTTTTATAATAATTGACCGTTGTTCAAGAATTTCATGTTTAGAGTTGGCTGTGCATCGCCATACATGTCAAAAGCAACCTATACGTCACTAAAATGTCAACCGCGAAATTTTGAACACTGAATAAATCTTGATTATTCTTTTTTTTTAAGGCGAAAGAGTGAACTATGTCAACAGCCCCCACGTCATCGCCATGGTTGGTCTCCCAGCCAGAGGCAAAACCTACATTTCAAAAAAACTCTCCCGTTACCTAAACTGGATAGGAATAAACACCAAAGGTAAAAAAAATCTCCCAAAGTATTATTATCTAATCCAACTACCCTCCAGTGTTCAATTTGGGTGAATACCGCCGCCACGCAACCACCGCCTACAAAAGCCATGACTTTTTCCGCCCTGACAACCAACAGGCGATGGCTCTGAGAACACAATGCGCCCTGGAAGCCCTCCAGGACGTCATCGGGTGGTTAGAATCCGGTGGCGAAGTCGCCGTGTTCGATGCTACTAATTCCACGATGGAACGACGAAGAATGATCCACGACTATATCGTTTCCAAAGGGTATAAACTTTTCTTCGTCGAGTCGGTCTGCGACGATCCTCAAATTATCGAACAGAATATCAAAGAAGTTAAAGTCAGTAGTCCGGACTACATCAACATGAACAAGGACGAAGTCCTGCAGGACTTTTTGCAGAGGATTCAGCATTATCAAGAGAAGTATCAGCCACTGGATGAGGATAAGGAGAAGGATACGTCGTTCATGAAGATCTATAACACGGGGGAAAAGTGTTTAGTACACAAACATGAAGGGCACATTCAGGCGAGGATCGTTTATTATCTGATGAATATTCACATTACGCCCAGAACCATTTATCTTACAAGAGTAAGTATTTGGAATTTCACAAAGCACCGTATTTAATTGGCACTTCCTTCGTAATTTGGTCCAATTTTATTAGTAGTCCAGACCAGACTAACTGAGCTGTGACGTGCAGCATCACGTGACTTCGGTTTACTCAATGTTCGACATTTTTTTGATTTTCACGTTTCTCCGTTATTGCTTTAATGTGTTTTATTATGTCATATGATGTTGAAAAAACAATTAAACTTAGTTATTGTTATGGTGTTATTGAATATTTAGGCTTCTGTCATCTCATTTTTCAGTTACTGCTGGTAACGGTTTAACATCTGACAATATCATTTTAATAGGATGAGAACAACTGCAAAAGTGACTATTATTGTAATATTATTTATAGCACGGAGAGAGTGAACAGAACCTGGAAGGTCGAATAGGTGGCGACTCAAATCTCAGCCCCCGGGGCAAACTATACGCCGCCGCTTTAGCAAAATACATCCAAGAACAACACATTGAAGGTCTCAGAATATGGACGTCGTGGTTGAAGAGGACCATTCAAACGGTAGCTGGTCTTAACGTCCCTCAAGAAAGGTGGAAGTCGTTGAACGAAATCGATGCCGTACGTACCTCCTGCCCCCCAATTCAATAATTTTGCAGCTTTTGTTTAGGGTGTGTGTGAAGAAATGACATATGAAGAAATCAATGAAAAATACCCTGAAGAATTCGCAGCGCGAGATGTTAATAAGTTCGCTTATAGGTACCCGAGGGGTGAAAGCTACGAGGATCTCGTGGGTCGTCTGGAGCCTGTCATCATGGAGCTAGAACGGCAAGGTAACGTCTTGGTGGTGTCCCATCAGGCGGTTTTACGTTGCTTGTTGGCGTATTTCCTAGATAAATCTGCAGGTAGGTTGTTGACCATGAGTAAGTGTCATTTTGAAGTGACGCTTTGTTTTCAGATGAGTTGCCTTATCTACGTGTTCCATTACATACCATAATCAAACTGACGCCGGTGGCGTATGGGTGTCGAGTCGAGCATATTAAGCTGCCGATCGAAGCGGTAGATACACACAGAGATAAGCCAAAGGTAAAGTAACTAGAGGTGGTTTTGCTTTATTCTGCTATTGCTCTTACTCATCGCATTAACCACTAGTGCTGCATGTGATCTGTGAAACCAACACTGTTTCAGGAACCGGGGCAAATCGCACAAGTCGATCAACAAATTGACTGTCATTGTAAAAATGATGGTCAATCGAACAGTCCGAATAAGAGTTAACTATCAAAAATATCTTAGGACAATAATATTTTATACGTTTTGTAGATATGAGACTAGTGTAATCATGCTTAGTCAGTTAACAACATAATGCATTCAACGATGAGTTAATGTTAGTACACAGTGTGTTGTGTATTGAATTCAGTTATGTTTATCATTCCTTGTATCTTATTTATGTAATTTATTACTGTGGTTGTATTGATATATGAATAATGGGACTTCCAAACAACACACTGTACGTTTTTCATTTTAATCTGTAAACCCCTAAATGCTTTCTGTCACTGTGCTTTCCTGCTTAGATAGTTGTAATACTTAAGAGAGCAGGTTTTAGTTGTGATTGCATAGTAATAAGTAATGTTTTAAGGTTCCTGGGTACTTGGACGAACGATTCAGGTCCAAATCGCACAAATCTTGATGCAAGTTTGTCTGTCGCGGATCGACTGAAACAGGGTGCCTAAATAATTAAATGAATATTTGATGTGATGTACCAACTGTTTGGTTTAGTTTAATATATAACCATTGTGATGGTGTAGTTAGTCTTTTTGAGACTTTGGATCCATTCTGTACTTCTGATATATGAGAAATTTCCAATTTTTATGTGCATAGACGTGAATATATGTAATTTATCAATAATATGTGAAATTAATCTTATTTTTATGTATTAGTAATTTATATTGTATCATAATGACAATTTCCTCATTAAATATAAAAGACAGTTTATTTTTTACGTTTTATTTTTATTTGGCGGCACGCACCGAACGTACAACCCCACAGTCGCTATACAGTTTTTATTCAAGGACAAGTGGTGAGTATTTGCGTAGATATTTTATAACTTTCTGCATCCATTTTGAAGGTATTACTGCACTCACAGCTTATTGCAGAAATTGTTAATAAAACACAAAAAAACTAAATAAAAGTTATTGCAGTCGTGCAAATATGCAACTCAGCTAACGCCTTACGGTGAATTTAGTATAATAATAAGAATATATATATATATATATATATATATATGTAAATAATAATATAAGAATAAGTGGCTGCAGATCGCCGACATCAAACAACAGTACAACATTAAATTTATTGACCGTTGAAAGTTGGCGGAAGTGATATTCACTAGTAAAACATGGTATAGTGAACAAACTAGTTAAAAATTCATTGTTGTATTGTAGAGTTTGTGGTTTTAACTTCAGCTTATTTTCTACTAACTGATGACTATTTCATTGTACGGAAGTATTGTAAGAACTTGTGAGAAAATTAGGTCTGAAATTTAATCGTAAATGGAATGTCGGAAATCTGGAGGTACAATAATTCTACCTCCAAGGCCGGAAAGTTTCCGTTTATTTGAAAAATTATTTAGCAAAAATTGTTCTAATGCGCTATAGTCAATATGTCCAAAATTAAGATAATATAATAAACTGGCAGGATATGTCACTTTTATTGCAAACATTGATATTATACGTATTAACAATTTTTATGACATTATTCCATTTGACCTTTCAGTTACAAAGGGGCTAGAGAAAATTTCAAAGACTTGGATATGAAAGAGTTTTGCGCTTCCGGTGCGAGTTCAAAGATTTCTCGGCAGTTCAAAGACTGAAGGAGGGTTAAAAGGAAAGTCAGGGATTCATGACATCCGCTGAAAGTTTCTGTAATCAGGAATGTCGATCGCTATAAGCCTAAAGGAACACAATGCTTATTGCTTATTTGACTTTTGCCAGATTTGGAAAATCATTTTTGAAAATAATCACAGAACAAATAAAAATTATTTTAGAGCTGTTAATACCTAGAGAGAATATCTAGAAATATTTATAAGTAAGGATTCAATAGTGATGTTGGTCCTGTTCCCCACCTCTTTTTTGTATTTCGTTTTATAGGGAGTGGGGTGAAGGGGCGTACATACATATTGTATATATTCCTGTAATCAATAGGTTTTTAACATCTGGAAGAAAGCTAAAAAAACATATTTCAAATTGAATGTATATATCTTTCAATTAATTAATGAATAAATATAATTATATAACGTGACGTTTGTATGTTTGAAATTAACAACAGAAACTTGTTACTGACCTTCCATAATAATCATTGTTCTTCAGCTAAGGATGCCAAAAGCTTAAATTAAGCTAATAAATATGTATACAATTAATTGTCATGTTTGAATTAAGTTTTTTCCCGTTACTAAGAAAATGGTGTTCAGAATTAAAAAATATGTACAAAAGTATTTTTTCTTATTTCACTAAGTGCCTGCAACAAATTATATTGCATTATGTTTTTCGAAAGTGTAATAATAATTCAGAAAGTAAGTTGTCTGTGAAATTCTCCGCTCTCATTGTAGTTCTCGAATAGTGCATATCGTTATTAGACAAGCGTTTTTAAATTCTTGCCATCCTCTCCAACAACCGACTAATTCAACCACTTATCAATAGCTGCATGTCCACAGGAAATGTTTGTTAATTCCATCTACTGAGATGCGGTTGTTCCATCCTTTATTAAATACATGGACCCAGCCGTGAAAAATTCAGTTCTCACACGTTTGATGTATAAAGATAATAACATTCTTGCTGATAATTTGTACTCAGCTGAATATTTTTACGGCCAAAAAATGTACGCCTTAATTTAAATAACTTTTCGTATTACTTAATATTTCAGTGTATTTTCGCCAGAAGAAAATACAACTTTAATAGTTAGTTTTTCACGTTGGTTTATTGTTTAATATGTGTAGCTGTAATCAAATTATACATTGAAAACCACAATAATGAACATGAAAGGGAGATTGATTATGATGAATTTACTTTTTACTTCCCGAGCGTAAGCAAAGGAAGTATTGTAATCGAGTCCGTCGGCCGACTCTCTACTTTTACGTTTTCTCGATCTTTCATGACCCCTAGAAGACGAAGAAATAGGTCTCCCATTTCCGTCTGTCTGTCCGTCTGTCCGTCTGTCCGTCCGTCTGTCCGTCTGTCCGTCTGTCCGTCCGTCTGTCCGTCTGTCCGTCTGTCCGTCTGTCCGTCCGTCTGTCCGTCTGTCCGTCTGTTGTCCCGGATTTTTATTAGACAGATAATCTCCGAAAGTACTCGACCGATTGTTGTGAAATTTTGTACTTATATTAAGAATATCATGTAGATGGTAAAACGCTAACCAAAATTTGTCTAATCATCCCCACCACTAATGCGATGACGTCACTTCAAAATTGTACATAGTAAATGGGTTTTCAATTGTATAAAATAACATAGTCCTACACATGTAGTTTACAACTCTGAATCGACTTTTCACCCGAAACGTCCAGATTTTTGGAAAAAAAATCAAAATTATAAAACAATATTTTGAAATTTAATTTTTAATCTGCTAACCAGACTGCTTTGAAATGTTGCAGATGTTTTAAGGCTATAAAGAGCATCATAAATCTTTAGTCAAAAAATATTTGCTTATCCCCTCCAAAAACTTGATGACGTCAGCTCAAAAGTTTGTGGAATAAATCATATCTAAAATGTACAAAATATGATGAGTCTGTACTTGTGATCTATCACTCCATTCATATTTTTTGGATTTGCATATACAGGGTGACTCAAAAAAATTAATGAATGCGTAAATATATTTTATTGATTTAATCAGGAACTACAAAACCGAATGCTCTGAAATCATGCAGATGTTTTAAGGTCATAAAGAGCATAATAAATGTTTAGTCAAAATATATTTGCTTATCCCCTCCAAAAACTTGATGACGTCAGCTCGAAAATTTGCCGAATAAATCATATCTAAAATGTACAAAATATGATCAGTCTGTACTTGTGATCTATCACTCCATTCATATTTTTTGGATTTGCATATACAGGGTGATTCAAGAAAATAAATGAAAGCGTAAATTTATTTTACTGATTTACTCAGGAACTACAAAACCGAATGCTTCGAAATCTTGAAGATATTTTAAAATTATCATAAGCATGGTAAATTTTTGATCAAAACGTATTTGGTCGTCCCCCCTAAAAAATTTATGATGTCACCACAAAATTTTGCTGAATAAATCCTATCTAAAATGTACAAAATATGGTGAGTCTCTTCTTGTGATTTATCATTCCATTCAAATTTTTTCGATTTGCATATACAGGGTGACTCAAAAAAATTAATGAATGCGTAAATTTATTTTATTGATTTAATCAGGAACTACAAAACCGAATGCTTTGAAATCTTGCAGATGTTGTAAGGTTATAAAGAGCATAATAAATTTTTAGTCAAAATATATTTGGTTATCTTCTACAAAAAACTGATGACGTCAACTCAAAAGTTTGCCGAATAAATCGTATCTAAAATGTACAAAATATGATGAGTCTGTACTTGTGATTTATCATTCCATTCATATTTTTGGATTTGCATATGCAGGGTGACTCAAAAAAATTAATGAAGGTGTGAATTTATTTTATCGATTTAATCAGGAATTACAAAACCGAATGCTTTGAAATCTTGGGAATATTTTAAAGTTATTATAAGCATGGTAAACTTTTGTTTAAAATGCATTTGTTCATCCCTCCTAAAAAAATTGATGACGTCACCCTTAAATTTTGCTGAATAAATCCTATCTAAAATGCAAAAAATATGATGAGTTTGTACTTGTGATTTATCATTCCGTTCATATTTTTTAGATTTTCTTAAGAGGTGGTTCAAAAAAATTAATGAAGTCAATTTATTTTATTGATTAAATTAAAGGCAACACTTATTATTAGTATTACACCCCAACCAACCCAATTTGGTAGACACAAAATTTGTTAAAGGAAAAACTCGGTTGAAACATAAGAGTAGCACGCTTATTTACATCGACTTTAACATTACAGACCTGCATTTGTTTTATGCGGTCACTTGGTTCCGCGAATGCGAAATAGACATGTTTATAATCAACCAATTATGAATTTCACCGTCAAGAATTAAAATAAAACGCAATGTTTTATATAATAAGCGGAAGTCGAAGCAATAAAACCGATGGTCGTTTTGTTTACAGTTTCTCTGTTTGGCTCTTACTGATGCTGTTACGCTTGTCATCTTAAATTAAGAATGTTTATACATAAACGATTTTCAGTTGCCCCTCATATTACTAGACAGCGGATTTCTGTCGGGCTACGTCACGATTATAGGGGGGGACGTGCTGGATTCCATAAATATAATTAACGATTTATTAATCAAACGGCTAAGTAAATGAGAACGGGAATTAACAGCAGAGTGCAATGAAACAACGTTATTCTAATCTCAAATAAACGAAGTGCAGTCCGCAACGGCAATGAATTCGCATCCCGTGCGAGCCGTACCGAGTTTGGCCTTGCCTAGCCCAACAGAAATCCGCTCTCTAGATATTACACACCGGCGCCGTATACGTGAGTAAATTGTTTCGTTATTTTATTGATTATAAGAAATCAATATTCAAAACGACCCAATTCATTTTCCCGAAAATTTGGGAACACAATAATTTTATTCTTAGTATTACACTACATCTATCGCAACTGATATACGTGTCCTTGCAAAAATGTTGATGACGTCATCACAATTTTTTTTTAAATTCCCACTACAAAAATGTAATGAGAAAAAAAAACATAATAGGCATGCAGTCGTCAAGTTTCCGACAGCGAGGGAAGTACTGTCTAAACTCTTTAGACCAATTTTTTTTTAATTTACGAATGTGCTTTTTTTTGCTCCTTTTAATGGAAATACTTGAGCTATATGTTTTTAGCTTGTGATGTGTTGTGTTAACAAAGCATAGAATACTTCATACGTCATAGAGTTGTAAAATTTGAAAATAATTATAATACGTAGTGAGACCTACTGTATATTCCCTGTCCCAGCCATGTGGAACGTGAGCGCACAGATTTAACTGCAGCCGTCTATGACCTCTGAGCACTGTAAAAATTCTGTTTTGTTGTAATGCTGGTGTAATTAAATTGTACGGAATTTGCGTAATATGTATGGATACCTGTTATTGACCTAAAATGAAATTAAAGGGCTTGTGTAAAGTTGGTTGCATAATTTTGAAATAGAATATAAACATTCACATTTTGAAAAAAAAACTTCAATAATAAAGTCGATCAATTCAATAAAGTATTAAAATACTAACTGAAAATGTTAAAATATAGTTCTTTCGCGATCAGGATATATTTTTGTTTTATGTGTGTCACAATATTATGTGCATATCTATTTGTGGTACGTCCATTTCGTTTTTGTTGCATTAACGGTTATTTGGAAAGGTCGTCATGTAACAAATTCCAAAGAAAGTTAGCTGGGGATAGAATAATTATTCAACTTGAGCTAATTTACCATTGTTCTGTGAATTATGTGTGAATCAAATTTGTTGTCTTAGCAGCTCATCATGTTTACCTAATTGTTGGTTGTCTACTCTACCGTTGTGTGTGGAGACAGATGCACATAAAGTGGATACTATCAGCTCAAGATAATCTGTCCGTATGTCACACGTGTGCTTCACCTGCTTTGGGGCCTGTATATAATTCGTATATTTTGACCTCACGTTGTGCGATACGAATTTAAAATTTTATTTTCGTTTTATTAGTAATATCTACCCACTTTATCTGAATTCAAGACCAACCAACAAAACACGGCTAAAACGTTTCAGATCTCCATTATGCTATTTATTATTTCAAGTAATGTCGCTAGAATTTGTTTACCTAAGAACTCGTATTGCGGTGAAGTGGAAGAGAAAGAAAAGTGGACAAGGTCAGTCGGTTGTAAAATAGTGGAGCAAACCCATAATCTCCTCGGAGATTGTACATAACGCAGTTGAGTAATTTAAATATGAAAAAACATTCCGAAGGGAAGCTCGAAGCATTTAAAACGATACCGTGACGTCCCGTCCGGTTTTGGCTTTTACAATGACTCAGAATTATTCAACGCATGTGTGATGCGTGCAGAAAATCGCCAAAACCAGTTCGTCCCTCGCGTCAACTTCTCCGTCGTGCAAAACCACGACCTGCAAACGTTATCCCATTTCCGAACCGCGAAATAAAGAAAGTCATCGTCCTGCTCGAATTCGAAATTTCGCTCTAAAACTGTTTAATTAATTGCCCACCAGGGGCGGTGTGAACGCCACTTGTGATTGGTTAATTGCAAAACTTCATTGTGGCGGATTCCCAAATGTTTTGAAATTGAGGTAATTCGCGTTTTCGAGTTGTGCCGCTGGAAATAAGTGTGAAGGCATAAACAGGAAGCCGAAGAGTGCGCGTGGAGAGGAGAAGAAAGCGAAGACGGCGAAAAGGTGAGCGAGAACCCGTTACAGGGCGTGTAGAAGCAAGCGTACGATAATGGCCGTTGTTTGAGCCGCAGCTCTGCAAACCCAGTTGGCTATGAAACCGCAGTCGGCGGGCCAGAACTGGTCCAGCTAGGTGGTGTCAGTGTTCGTTGTGGACGAAATTCGCTGTTTTACTACGAAATTCCGCGATCGCGGGGGCTTCAGTGGCGTGGGGGCTGTCCGAGTCGGCCCCAGAAGTGCCGTTCGCTTGTTCTCTCTCTGTCGCGGCCTGCTTAGTTGACGTGTGGAATAGTTGGGTGTTTACATAATTGTGTTATTGTGAACGTGCTGTTGTCCGTGTTGTTGTACGGTCTTCGGGACGCCGCGTCGTGGCGTCGCCGGACTAGGTTAGGTTAGTGCTTTATTTATAAATTATTCCGGGACCGGCGGGGGCCAGGGCCGTATCCCCCATTTCGGGGGAGCGTCGAATCTGGGGTACGCAAAAATGGAAAGCGATCTAGTTGCGCAACGTTCAATGCGATTCTGTTTTGTTTTTGTGTGGCGTTGTTGTCATGTTGTGTTATTTCGTGGTCAAGTCAGCATTTTTCAGTTTCGATCCAAGTGCATGCATAACTGCATGATAGGTAAACGGCCGACCCGCTTACGCTTCGACTCGTACTGTTTTTATACACGCCGCTCCCCCTCGGTCCCATACTGGGAATGCGGCGTTGCCGTCGTGGACACACTCTGACAACGCGCACTTGGATGCTTTATTGACGGATGGACGCGCTTTTGCCGGTTGCCACACACAAAACGGGCAAATCAATCGAGATTCTTTCCAGAACCTGGCCACTTTTGACACGTAGGGACGCGCAGCGAGCGGAAATCACGCCGCCACCCGGGGGCTCGGGTCGCCTCCGCGGCCTTCGACTCGCCCGCGGCGTTTCCGCCCGCCCTAGACGAATGCCTGGCATATTTGGAGGGAAAAACGCATTCGGATTCGGAGAAACATTTGCCAAGGGGATTTAAAGCGCTGAGGCGCGACGTTTGGCAACGTTTCAAACCATGAGCAGCGCCAACTGGATTTAAATTTCGAACCGTACGGAGCGATACAGCCCCATTATATTTAGAATTTCGACTTCGAATCGCGAATCGAGCGCGATTCAAGCGGAATTTGCAGTACTCACACCCCTGGGGTACGCAAGAGATCGTGCGCCACCGCCGCACCTGCGCCCGACCGTGTTTTTGTCTTGTTTGAATTTGTTTTGCTTCACTTTTAACCTAAAATATCTTTTCATTTTTAGCCCCCGAAATGAGCGATTGATTCGTGGAAATTTCCAATGGTGGACAACGTTCGAATGGGCAACCTACTCCAGTGAGTCGGCTCGCTTCTTACTCGAAATTTCCACTAACCCGATGTTTTCAGAGCGTCTTCGGTAATGCCATGTTTGAAAAGAAAACGAGGTTGCGAGTCAAACGTCTGCTGGAAAAACAGTTCCACAATTTTCACGAATTGGAGCAGGTTTGTGCGACACCAAGATTAGATAAAAGCAATAAAGTCGTTTCGTTGCAGTCCTTAAAAAATAATCTCATTGATAGCCAATTGGATATTAATAAATCGGCGGCGAAAAAAGTTCCCTCAAATCGCTCTACAAATGAGCGTAACATGACACGTAAGACTAGATCAAGACGGCCACGCATCCATTCGGTTTTTCAGTCGGGTTATTGTGCAGTTTGTCACGCACCTTACGCCAGTCTTGAGGATCACATTCAATCCAAGAGACATTTGAAACTGATCGGTGACGATGGCAGTTTTATATCTATAAAAGGCTTTGACTCATTCCTGGCCTTGGATGGAATCGATTCGATTGGTGAGTGGCGAGCGCGCTAACTTCACGCACGATCCGTGACAGCCGTGTCACGAGTCCGTGATGTTATCCCTCGAACTTTTTAAACTTCATGTAGCTTTTTTAACGTGTGCTTGGTGACGTTAATGCCTCGTTAGTGGCCATTATCCATGGAAAATATTGCTAAAAAAAAAAAGAAAACTACCATCCTACGAACCTACATTAGTTTTAGATGAAAATGGGTTAATCACTATCTCATTGTTAGTGTTCATTAGTGCCTTAAAAAGCTCATTAGTGCCATCATCGTAATTTCGAGAACCAAATTATGAAGGCTGAGTATGTTTAGTGGTGACGGAATTGGTTAAAACTAACCATGTTTTGTCCCGAGAATCTAACTTTAGTCACGGAGTGCTGCAGTGACCCATATTCGGGTTTTCGGCTGCTTTAAATGTAAATTATTCAGTGTAAGTAGGAGTAAGTGCTGTCAGTTGCACCACTTACTGGTGAGCGACGAACGACGAAAATGTAAAACGAATACTAGAAAATCCATGCACGCTATAAAATTTAAAACTCATTTGAAACTAATGTAGACGACTGTCAAACTTCGTTAATCCATTTTTAAGCTTTCGTATTCCGGCAACATTTAAGTTATTGAACGTTGAAAGTTAGCGGGAGTCATTTTCATTTAAAATTGACTAGATGCCGTGCGATCGGAAATACAGTGACTTAACAGTTGGCAAGGTTTGGGTGGTACTACTGTCTTCAATTTTACATAAACTAATTACTTTTTGTTACTGGGTACTGACATATTTGAATAGGTAGATAATTTGCACGTGTTTAATGGTTGACATTGATGTCAGTGTGCAGTAGTACCACCTTATACTATCAGTCTCGGACAACTTTAGTTCGTTCTATTTTCGACATTACGGTAGTAATGTACAAATAGGAATGGAAAATTTGCGGTCACCTTCCCCAAAAAATACCCAGAATTTACGTCATTTGTTAATAGCTTATCAGTGTATGAGCTTTATTACGATAATTTGCTACAAACTAGGCTCACTTTCACCAGCAACCATTTAAGAGTACGGTCTTTCGAGAATGTACAGTTAATGTAACCATAACAGAAATCCATTAGAATGTCATTGTGCAAAGTATGTTGTTTTGCAATTTAATTTTGTGATTGGTTTAGCTGTCAAAAATAAAAAACAATTGACGATTAATGGCATGTCAGTGTTTGACAGTTCGAGGACCGCATACGAAAATAATAAAAGAAAATGAAAATTACTTATTATTATACGTTGTCCTGTGCGAATGTATAGGTATGCAACACATAAAACATGCAATTTGTTTTTCTTAATGTTGAACGTATAATCATGTCACACTACTGTCAAGAATTTTCACGTATCTTTCTGGAGCTTTTGTATTATTTTACGTATATTAGGAACTTAAAGAAGTAGCACCTACATATGGAGCGTATATTCGACATAAAAATACTATTCCAATCCGGAAACATTACTGTATTTGAGGATTTGCAATTTTTTTTTAATGTTGACGGCATCAATTTTCTAGAGGAGGTGCGGGAAACGCTAAGAAATACAAGAAAAAACTTGAAAAATAATATTTCTGAGGTTGTTTAACGAATTTCTTGAATCTAGATACACCAAAATGTGGAAAATACGTCCAATCGCCTCCTTTTCGAAAAATAAGTCGATTCTGCCTATCGTAAGTGTGTCATGACGAATCAATAAATTATATTCGACGTTCTTTAATTAAATTATTTATATTTATTCATCTAATTGAGCCTTAACGTCTTAAAAAATGTCTCATATGAGGCTTTCAGACAAATTCTAACATTCATTTTTGTAATTTGAATTGCTTCGTATGGTTTATTTGACGAATGGTTTATTTTATTTTTCAATTTTCAGTTGTTGGTCGTGTGTTGGCGATTTTATTATAAAAGTAATTTTGTAATTTTTAATTGTTTGAAAAGTATCGGGTCGTGGTAAACGCTAACCAAAACATACATCATCATCCCTATTGACAATTTGACGTTATCTCAAAATTTTGCTAAGTAAATGTAAAATGTGTAAAATAATAAATAGGCTTCTATATTAATTCAGTTAACATTTCGCGTGCTGATTTTTGGGGAAAAAACTAATTGTTGTAAAAGTTTGTACCCACTTTGAGGTTATTACGAAAAGAATAAAGAAAATTGTGTGTCGTTCAAGATTGAAAAAAATCACTAAAATAGCTTTCCATAGTGGCAGATGAGAGATGTTTGTGGGATTTTAAACTAAAAAGTAACTAACAATCTTTGCTATAACAATTAATTATGATCCTTCGTCTTAATAAATATATGTCCAGCCATTATTTCCCCCGATTGAGCCGTCTACTATTTTCCTCTACGCTGCTGTTACCGCTTTGCTTGCACGTTCCAGACCGGTCCCGAGCACTACGTTCACGTTCCATAGGCGTCCCATACTGTTTTTAATCCACCCTGCTTGGTTTAAACAAAGCTTGAGAGTGCCTCTTAGGGTTTTCGCTTCATTTTGTGTTTGCATTTATAGAAGTGAATGGTAAAAACTGCGAGTACTCCCCGCCGCGTCGCAGAGGCAGAATGCCGCGGCGAAAACGTACTTCCTCCTTGATGTGCGACAGAATGAAAGATTCCCCGATGTCTCCCGTGGGAAGCGACTCAGGCCACCACTTGCGCTCAAGAAAAAATATCAATTACATGACGCCGCCTCTCGAAGAAGACAGTCTGACGGAAAAGCCCGAAGTGGTCAAGGAGTATCGCGAGCTGAGATCGAGCACCCGACTTCTAGCCGTAAGTTCGGACAGTAGAATCTAAAACCGTATTTTACGTATTTGTGTATTCCAGAAACTCGCCGACCAGATGGTGGAAAGCGATGAAGTGTGGAACTCGGGTCGGCCGAAGAGGTCTTGCAACCGGACGCGGATCTCCGCCGACGAACGGCTGGTAGTCGATAACAAGAGTTACTACAAAGTGGAAGTTCTGTCGTCGAAATTGCGCTCGGGAGTGGCCCATTTTCAGCCCGAGGTTAAACGACCGGAAACGCCAGTCAACGAAAGCAAAGAGGACGATAAGGGTTTGATCGTGAAATTCAGAAAGTTGCGTAGTTCGGAATTAGTGCGGCTGAATAATGAAGCGGAGAATTTCTTGTTCCCGAAGAAGGACGACAGCAGCGACGAGGACGACGACGACGACGAGAATGACAAGTCGAAGACTGATCACAGTTCCGTGGGGGACGCCGACGACGTGAAGAGAATCAAAGTCGAGGATGACGAGTCGATGCATAGCACGAGCTCGGAGAGCAAGGGGAAGAAGCGGAGGCGGACACACGCGGAGGCTTTTATTATGGATAATCAAAAATATTATAAGTTCGAGACGCCCGGTTCTAGGTTCGTATTGGTGAAAAGCAGGTTTTGTGGTGAAGTGGGGTGAAGTTTGCGATCGGCTGGAGCGGAGCGGTGTTTGACGTGATAAATTTTTATCGCCAAAAGAAGCTAGAAAAATTCGAAGAAGCAAAAAGAAAAGTGCATTATATATGCAGGCTCAACCGAACGATCAGATTACTTAGAAACTGTTTTCTCTCCATACAGAGAGAATTTTACGATGCGATTTAAAAAAAGTCTATTTAGGATTCGCATAAAATTTAATGGTTTTTAAATAGGTTTTTTGTATTATTTTTGAAAAAAAGTTTTCTGAATACAATAACATGAGATTTGAATTTTGTCCTATAACGATATGTGTTTTAAATATTTATGGTGTATTGAGAAAACAATAATTAATTAAAAAGAAAACGTGAATACAAGGAAATTTTTAAAATCTAGCAAATATATCACCTCGCACCCTGTTTTATTGAACTAAATTTTTGTTTAAAAAAATGGGAAAAGTATTTTTAACATCAAAGGGAAAAAGTGGAACATTGTTCGACCTAAAAGTAGGTTCAGTATTTTAATTTTGTTTTCGTCATGTTGTCTACAGATGAAGTTTTAACGCTTTTTATAATTTTTAATTTTTGATCTATCGTGACCACAAAAGTGAATAAGTTAATCAAGCCTGTGAAATAGTATTGTGAACTATACTCATAACATTATTTTTGTATCAGTGAAAATTTTATCACGTGATTGAGGGTGAGACGGCACAATAGTATATAATTTAAAAACGTGAGTTTTCTACATAGGATTTATATTGAAATAATTAAATCTGTTGATTAGACTCCAGAGATGGCGACGTTTTGAATTCCAATAGCATTGAAAATTAGATTTTTGAATTGACGAATAACTAATATCTTAACTTACAAAGCCACTCGATTTTAATACATAAATAAAAAGAAAACTTTCTATTTTTGAGTAAACAAAAATTGCCGAAATGATAATGAAATAATTTAAAAATAATTAAAAATATTTCAAATATGTCAAACGAGAGGTCCGTTACAACTCACAAGATAGTTTTCATTACTCCAGAATCTAGTAGTCTGCCTGAGTGCTTGCACTATGTAGATTCCAGTACAACATACGATAGTTCATTGGCTGAAATTTACCAATCATATTTAAATTTTTCAAAAATTAAGTGCTTCCTCATGTTTTTCGTAATATTTTGAAACTGAAAGAATTGATAACTGATACTGAAAAAATAGATCCTTACATCATCAACCATTTAGTGGGACGACGCGAAAAGTACATCACCCTGTATAGTGGAAATTAGTTCCCATCTCTACTTGTCTGTATGAGTTCTAGAACAACTTTTTTGCTTTTTTTGGTCAGAATTTACATCACTTTTTTTTTCGTTCTAATAGTTTCTTTCACAAATTCTTACTGCTAGAATTTTTGATAAATCAGAAGATGTCAAAATTTGAGTTTAAGAAAATATATTCTGTCAAGGGTTTTAAATAATAAATTGGCAAGATCCCAAAGTTGCAGATTTTGTCCTAATAAATCGAAAAATGCCAGTCGGAACAGATTTTGCTTAACATTAAACTTCGGTTAGGATTTAACGTACCAGAACTAAGAAATACTTCTAAAATTGAAATTAGAGTTGTGAAAATTCAATTGTTTTTTGTTTCTATATGCTATAAATTCCCTCCAGGACAATGCGCATGCGCGATTGGTTGATGGATGCAGTCTTCAATCCATTAAATTCTAACAAAATGCTTGTTTTTATTTATAATAAAGTAAAATTATTATAGAATTTACTCAGGGAGTAAATAATCAAAAACATGTGTAATTGACGATTCATGCTTTGGATAAAATTATAAAAAAATATAAGCGACGTAAACAAGAAAAAAAACATTTTAATCAGGATATTTATTTTTAGTTGTATTTCTGAAGAAAGGATAAAGTTATGATTGTATTGAACACTGAAGGGGTAGTTTACAGTATTTTGCATCATATCAATGCCCCTTTTCGGAAGTCAAAACTATCTTACTTTTTCATACTATTTTTGCGTTTCCGACAATCGTAACTATAGTAGTATAATAAATAATCCTCCGCAGCGGGCGGTAAATACAAGCAGGATAAAGTGGAACAATCAACATAACGCATGCAGGTAGACACACATACAGTACAAAAGCAAAGCCCGTGTCCACAAAATAAAAGGGTAAACATTGACATTACGTTAATCAACTTAATTCGAATTGCTCGAATTTTGATGGATTAATTTATCAATAGACACGTTCGCAAACTTCGCCCAAATTGAATCTCGCTTCGCTGCAGAACCGAACGTCACGTCTATGATTAGCATTCAAGCAGCGTCACCGTTCCAGGTTAAGGTATCACGGCTCATATTTATCTCCCGTTCCTATGAAGTTGAAAAACAACGGCGAATGCGTAGTCAAAACCGAATCAGATCACTTGGAAGCAGCCAAAAATTTCAAACTCAGTTTAGACGATTACAACTTTTCTTTTGAAAGCGTTCCAAAAAACGAGGTCTGGTATCAAACCTTCCAGAGGCGTGACAAGGGGGAGGAGAAGTACGTTTTTCTGGACGATGACTGTGAGTAGTTGCGGATTTCTCCCCCACGGAAAATTTTGGGCCTCGTCACCCCCGATAAATCGCGATTTTTTTTATTTTAATTGTGGAGGGTGAGGTGAAAAGAGGACGAACATTTTCCAGTGGAGAGAATATGGTTTTATTTATTGTATTTAGTGAACGTTTTAGGTTACTGGAACCCGCTGATTCTTCCGTATCAACTCGACTACGTGCCACCACTGGATCCTCGAGAGTGCGTCTCGCAGTACAATCAGATCAAGAAATGCCTTATAGAGCCGCTTTCGGCTTCGACTTCCGTCACCTGCAGCACTCCCGACCCTAACGCCAGCAACTCGAGCGTGGAGACTGCCTTTAATCAAGACGAAGACAGCAAAATAAGCGCGACCGAAGTAAGTTCCAATAGCACGGTGGATGACATCAAACCGAACAAGCGAGGTCGGAGGTCAGGGGCCGTCGTAAACATAACCGGAAACGGAAAGAACCCCCGGAAATCACCGAGGCAACACGCTTCTACGTTGGCCATCCTCAGCAGTTTGATCCAGCAGAGGAAGAGGAAGTCGCGGAGGCACGACCTGGACTTCCGGACCACTCTGCCGACGATTCTGGAGGAGCCGAGAGCGAGGTCTTCGAAAAAGCCGAGAGTGGACTATATTTCGTTGATGAAGAACGTGGAGGAGGAATTCGCGAATGTTTGCGACGACGGTTTGCTGGACGTGGAGATCGACAAGGACAACGGGATCGACTTTAAAGGGAGCGTCGCGATCGAGGACATTCTCACGGTATACGAAAATAAAGACAGCGTGATTAAAGCGAATAAAAGACTAGTTAGCGGGAAGCCTGGGCGGAAGCCCGGGAAGAGGAAAAAGAATCGGACGGGTTGGCCGTTGAATAGGACGAGGAGGAGGAGGGATAGGAAGGAAGACGACGAGAGCACGGTGGACTCGCTGAGTGTGAATGCGGATTCGGAGGAGAACGAGGGGTGCGAGGACGCGAATTCGACTGATAGTATTAAGAAGAAAGGTGTAGCGAAAATTAGTGAAAACAACAACCAAAATGACCACAGTAGTTTAGGTGATGTAACTATAGCGGATAATTGTGATCATAACGATGACAGGGTAGGAAAGAATGACGTATCTTCGGACAAAGTACTGACGAATAAAGTGAACAATAGTGACGGTTTTAGTATTGGTTTGAAATACCAGCCGTACGTTCGTGTGCAAAAACTTGACAGAAATCGTGTAGACAATAAAAGTGAGCCGGCGAAACGAAGTAATTCCCCGAAGCGAACAAATAGAGGGCAGAGAAGGATGCCCGCATCTCCAAAATCGCCTAGGATGTTACGGAGGCCGAGAGGCCGGTGGTACCGAGAGAGATAAGATAGAGTTCCATATGTTATTTATTTTTCTCTTGTATTTCGTTAAGTTAAACAAATATGTATTCGAATATTTTGTACCAAATCTGTATTATTTTATTATTTTTTTAATGTTAACATATAGTCTTTCGTCTTCAAAATGAAATTATTCTATTTGTATATTCCTTCAATATGTAAGTAGCATGAAAATTTTGGTTTGCCTTTGCCATTGTATATGGTTTTATTTTTGAGAGAATTACATTTCAAGGCAAATTTGGAAATAAAATTGTTGTTTACGATGACCTACGATTTTTTTTGTACATAAATATTACAGAGAAGGTCCGGATGCAACCACAAAAACCGCTACAGCGCAATACTGATCAGCGTTTATAAAGGAGCGGCCAAACGCTTTCCGCTCGAATACACAGACAATTTAATTAAAAGAAGCTCATTTTAACCGGAACACTTGTAATGTAAAGAATTACGACAAAAAAACATACTCGTTTCTCGTTGATTACTTGCTGACGAAATGAATCACTGTTGCTCGCCGGGTTCATTCCATATTTGGTGTTTGCCATTTATACGAACAGTTGATCAGATTATAGGCACTAACATCAGCCAGTGAGTAGGCTTGAGAACGGGTATTAGAAATTTAAATCTGATTATAGCGTGCATTTATTCAAAGAAACACAAAAAAAGGGCGTTGCTGAGCTGCTTTCTGCAACACTTATCATTTGTTAAATCATAAATTATAAATTTCAATAGTGGTCAGAATTCTGTTATAATGTGAGGTGTTGGCTAAAGAAATACGCTGGCTTCAGTTTTATTTAATACGAATTTTGCACAAGTTTTGCTAATTAAACACGTTCTAAATTTTATTAATTTTAAAATGTGGGTAGGTAATTTGTGAAGTTCTTATTTCCCCTTCATCTAATTTTTCTTCCATACAAGTCGTAATTTTTAGTATTCTTTACGAGTCTGTTGAAGTACAACACCTGTACATAATTCGTGCGTACTGAACCAGTATTTTTCAAAGTTAAAAATTAGTGACTTCATGTAAAACAAACATTCTCAATGTAAACAATTTTCGCTTTTACTGTTTCTAATAGGTTTAGACACCCACGAAAGAAATGTTAATGACAACGGGTCACCTTTTAAATAAAACGTAAAAATTTATTATTTTTGCCAAAGAGCAAAAGATATATTATACACATTTGGATCAAACTGAAAATACGGACAAAATGAATACATTTAAATAAATAACATCTGACAATATGCTTCAAAATAGAAAGATAAGAATATTTCCATAGCCAGCAAAGTGTAAAACATAAATAGTTTTTAGATTTCAAATTTCAGACATGCCTTTTTTTCTTGACCAGCTCCACAAAGCCCCTGAAAGATTCAGAAAACTTAAAGGTGTGAGACACTGATTTGTTTAAACGGATAAAATCTACACTTTTCACGTTTGACATGACCTGACCAAATTAACTATCTGTTGTACGCAGCAAAACCCTTTCTTTCAGGGTTTAAAATAGGCCACAAAATTATAAGCGTTTGAGATGATTTAAGTCTTCAAGGAAATAGTGTTCATTTTTCTTTTCTAATTGTTTGAGAATTTTGATGGTTAAAAAAATTCTCTCTGTTAATATTTTTCCTGCAGTTCTGCCAATCGATAAAAATCAAATAAAACAGTGGAATGACATTCGACCACAGACCGACTGGTTATGTGCTGGTTATGTTTAATGTTAGAAGTTGGCGGGACGTCACATTCATATGGCTGATATCAGTGATATGACACAAATCTAGTAACATATGACAAAACTAAAATGATTTAAGCACGTCAAAAACCTGTCCAAATTTAGTCTATGACATGACCGTCGATTTGATCCCTTTGTCCAGGCAAGAATCCCAATGAAATTGTCAAAACTGACGTTACGTGATGGATACGTGATGTCAGTGTATGCCGAGTAACAACCGTGAATATTACTGTAAACAGATCTGTAAAGGTAGGTGGTAAATTTGGACAGTTTTGATTTTTTAATGGTAATTTGAGCGACAGTCATCTAGAGATATTGTGTGTAAACACACGAAAAATGAAAAAAAGTGTTCCCTTACTTGCAAGGAAGTTAACTTTCACTGTTGAGTGTCGTGCATTACTGGATTGTGTTAAATCACAGAACACAACCCTACAGGTTTTTTTTGAACACGTGACAATTACCTTAACCCAACTTATCGCGTTAAAATTTTTGCAACGTTGCCAGCTCTATTTTCGAGTGCGAGTTTTTAATATTTAAAATGAAAAACACTCTATAGTCTTTGCCATTTCTATCGAAACACCACTTGTTCATCGTAAAGTTGGCAACGTTGATATTCAGAGAATTTTCTAACTAAAAGCCGTTGTCAATCAACTGAAAGCTGTTACCAATTGCTAAATTTTAAGCAAAATCAACAGGTGGTGTTTCAATAGAAATGGCAAAGACAATACAGCGATAGAGAAGGTAATGTAACAGTTTGACACGCAACCCAACACTCTATAGAGAAATGGAGCGACTACAAGACTAATTTTTGTAATGTTTTCTCAAAAAACATTTAAATTCAGCAAAAATTTTTAGAAATGCACGGATGGCATGCTTTATTCAAATTTACACAGTATTTGTCCATTGTGGTGTTTTAAACACAAAAAATGTGTGAACCTATTGTTTTGTTCTTTTTTATCTGAGTAATAAATTTACGAAATTTTATGTGGCGATGTATTCACAAAATGTTGTGGTCAATGACTCAAATCAATTACATAAAATGTGTAAATAAAAGTACTATTAATTAATTTAATAACAACATTTATTTACGAGAAAGAATAGAAAACAATAAATGCCTTTGCCAAACTGCTTCTTCTGGGAAATATTTAATCATTTTAATTAAACTTGTATGAATTAGTCGCATTTTACCTTTGCTAATAGAGTTAAAGAGTACCGGAGATTAAAGTTCAAAAATGAATTACTTTAGCTGCGCTACAAGGTTGATGACGTCATCTCAAAAATCATTAAACAAACAAAAAAAATACACATCCGCAGCAAGGTGATTAGTTTTATAACACACGCAACAAGCAACCAGAAGACGTCATTTCAAAAATTACTGAATACACTTTTAAAAGATATTTTTTGACTTGCACGCGATACTTGTTATATTTCAGACGTGATGGAAGAACAACTTTACAATGTTTTTTAAAATAATCAATTATATACGTTTATCATAAGTTATAAATCTTGTGTTAACATTTTTAAGCACATATCACAAAATCATAATCAAACTGGATTTTCAGGTACATTTTTAAAGCTTTTAAAACGAATAATGTTAGAAATTTGCTAAAACGTCATCCTGTGTAGGTTGCTTTGGCAATCTCTGAAAGTAGTTTATTTTTCAAAAAAGGTCAAAAGTTGTTATTTTCAATAAAAAAAATTCGTCTAAAGAGTTTAGACAGTACTTCCCTCACTGTAGGAAACGTGACGACTGCACGCCTATTATGTTTTTTTTCGCATTACATTTCAAAGCATTCGGTTTTGTAGTTCTTGATTAAATCAATAAAATAAATTTGCGCATTCATAACATTTTTTGAGTCACCTGTATATTCAAATCCAAAAAATATTAATGGAATGATAAATTACAAGAAGAGACTCATCATATTTTGTACATTTTAGATAGGATTATTCGGCAAACTTTTGAGCTGACGTCATCAATTTTTTGGAGGGAATAACTAAATATATTGTGATTAAAATTTTATCATGCTTATCATAACTGTAACCATCTGCAAGATTTCAAAGCATTCGGTTTTGTAGATTCCAAATTAAATGTTAAAATGTTGTTTCCTAATTTTGATTTTTTTTCCAAAAATCTGGACGTTTCGGGTAAAATCTCAATTCGGAGTCATTAACTACATGTGTAAGACTATGTTATTTGATCCAATTTAAAACCCAATTACTATGTACAATTTTGTAGTGACGTCATCAAATTAGTAGTGGGGATGATTAGACAAAGTTTGGTTAGCGTTTTACCATCTACATGATATACCTAATATAAATACAAAGTACTTTCGGAGATCATCTGTCTAATAAAACTCCGGGACGGAAGACAGACAGACGGAAACGGGAGACCTATTTCTTCCTCTTCTAGGGGTCATGAAAGATTGAGAAAATGTAAAAGTAGAGAGTCGGCCGACGGACTCGATTACAATGCTTCCTTTCTTACGCTCGGAAAGTAAAAATCAGTGGAGTTAACTGTATATCAAACGTTGATAGTTTATTAAGGACTGCTTTTCCAATATGGATCTAGGATTTTCTTTGTTTGTCCATATCCCGAAACAATTGGACAGTTATTTATGTACTTCGGTAGGTAGATAATATTGTATCAAAAAATTATGAAATAAATATGTATTTATTTATTAATTAATATTATGATTAGTATCATATCAAACGCATCAAACAAGCGGGTGATGTCATTTGAAAATAATTGCTGAATAATCGTTTTAAAATACACGTTTTGACATGCACACGGTATTTGTTATGCTTCAGAGGTGATGGAAGTTTCGTGTAAATAACTTTCCAATGTTTGTTTTCTGAAATTGTTCACTAAATACGTTCACAATAACTTATAAATTTTATGTTTAAATTTTGGAAATAAACCCTCCACTAAAATTCGAAATTAAAGAATCACAAATCACACATTTGTTTTGGTTAACAATTAACTTGATGCATCCAAAATCAAAAATTACCAATCAATAAAATATACGAAATTTCAGATACTTCGCCATACTGGATGCGAAAAACGTTTCTTTTTAATCGATTAGTAATTATAAGAAAAAGAGAGAATGTGATCACTGGGAACTGCGCATCTTAAATTATAAAATTTGGCCAACTGGGAGTTTTAACAAAATTTTGGGCAACATTTTTTTATTTTTCCAAATCCTGAAAAACTTGGACATTTATTTCTTCTCCAGAAGGTTAATGACAAAAAATCAAATTAAAATTTCTTAGAACTACATTTACGGGATACTTTAACACTAGGAGGACGGCGTTTAGCGCATACCTCTACGGACGGCTTGCGGTCATTTGACCGCTGTACTTTTTTTTCAGTTAAACATGGCCAATAGCGTAAATGCTTTATCAAAATTAATTAAATAACTAAATTAGAGTAACATAAACATTAGAAAGTGGAAATCATAAATGAAACTAATGATTTAAAGCAATTTGCACCCAAGAAATTTGTAACGTTTTTACATTTTCCGCATAAAGTGTTTTTGCATCTATCACGCTTTCGGTTTGCTTAATTGCGGCATTTAGTTGCATGGCAATGTTTTCTTGTTCCTGTGAACTTATCCTCAGGCAGTAGGTCATTTTTATTAGTTTGACCTGACCTGACCCAACATCACTTGCAGCGAATTCTCTTCACAATTTCTAGAGGTATTTTAGTCTGCTTATTTTCTTCTTTATCACTTTCTGATATAAAATCCATGCATTTATTACAGCCAAGTCTAAAATGTTATAAATAACTTGTCCTTGATCCCGCTTTGAACGAATTTTTTCTAGTCACTTGGTCCACAATATCGTCGCCATATTTTGTATAGTTGCAATAGGCTATAGTGTCCAGAAGCTTTTTTCGATTATCTTGAATTATTATATCAGGATGCATTGTGCTCAAAAGCAGAACATTTTTGTTTTTTTCCCTTGATATACAGTCGGCGTGATAGTATTATACTTCAGAACTTTTGTGTCATATACATTACCACTATCCGTCTTGAGAATTATTCAATTCTGCGAGTAATTCCAAATCTGTCATATTTTTTCTCACCGAATGTTCCGACATTTTCAAAGCAAAAATCACCAAGAAAAAGCACACCCTTCACGAAAAGAACAAGATCCAAACCAAAGAATGTAATTACGTGCAATGCCAAAATAAATTAAGTTACCACGAAAATTACCAACCATCTTATTGGAAATTATGTCCAGATGTTGACAGTATGGGGTATCAGGTAATTTTAATTATTTCGAGAATTTTTGAAGCGATTCTATTACAGCGGTCAAATGACCGCACTCCGTCTTTCTAGGAAGACATATCCCCACACAGGTGACGAACAGTCCTATTGAATTGCGATTTTTTCCACATACAATCAAGAACAAATAAATAATTGTCACGAAGGAAAATAACGAAATACTTTATGAAACCAGAGATATCAAGAATAAAAAATTCAAAAGCGGTCAAATGACCGCCTCCGTCGTTCTAGTGTTAAAGAATTCATATACGTAAATTCATTTATAATAATAACGTTATCGCGAATTTCAAACAAAATCATTAACACTGCGATTAGTGTTATATACATTATATACCACACGCATTAAACAAATGGATGACGTAATTTAAAAAAAATCTGAATAAACGTTTTAAAATATACGTCGTTACATGCACACGATATTTGTTAGACTTCAGAGGTGATGGAAGTTTTGTGTAAATAACTTTCCAATATTTGTTTACTGGAATTATCAGTTAAGCACGTTTATATGAAGTTGTATATATTTTTTTCTTTTGTAACATCTTTATTATTAGGTACTAAGATTATTTTTGTGTGCATATAGTACAGTACTATTAAAATTTTTAGCCAAAACCGAACTTGAACTATCATGTGAAGTAGGTTGCTTTAGTAAGTAATCTCGAAGTTAATTTATCTTCAAGAACAAAATGCTGTCGAACTTTGACAGTTTGTCTCTGTTACCAAAAAAAGGAAAAACAAACTCACGCTACATTTGATTGTCGATGCATTAATTGCATTTATTTCATAATTTTTCAGTTTCAATAATTAGCATTGCCTGTATTTTTCGATATCCCAAAGAAATCGGACAAATCCAGAGAAAATAATTTGGCAGCAAAATTTAATTATAAAGTCGTATAGTAGCCGCCTACGATTTCTTTATTTGTATTGTGATTTTTTCCAGTGTCGAACTGTTACGCCACTGTACTTAAATTGTTTTCGTATGTAGTGTACCTACATAATAATATTTTTGCCAAATAACTAAACCAGGAATAATATCCTTCACCGCAACCTCCAAATTCCTTCCTGTTGTCATGTTTACTACACAAGACCACATAAGAGTGAGTGCTCTCTAATGTACTTGTTACCATAGAAACTATGTTGCATCTAGCACAGAATTCGTCGTCCACAAACGATTGCATTATTCCGTTCGTTCGAATTTCGCCCATTATAAACCGACACACTCAAAGCAAATAAAAAACGACAACTACAGAGTCGGAGACCCACTTTTATTAGTAATCCAAAACAAGTACTTATTACCTTATTAGGTAGTTAATAAACATTTTCAGTTCCACCAAACGACCCATTTAAGCAACCCATAACTCAGCGCATTTCCTTCCGACCCAATCATCCAATAATCATTACCTCATTACCTGCCCCCCAATTACCCAAAATTACATAATTACCACCATAACACTTTTAACGAATCACTGACCAATCTCCGCAATCGGCAACCTTCGCTCGTCGCTCGGCCACCTCCGCCACCGATATTAAAATGGAGTCTAGTTTACAAGCACAACGATTTGTAGTCGTTGTGTCGGTGCGTTGTTCACTGATGTCTCGTATCCTTCCATTTTTCTGCGGAAGGTAGAAGAAACGCGTCTCAGAGAAGCCATCAAACCGAAGTTGAGGCCAAGCCGGTCACGTTGAAGGTAAATTTTTTGAGATTTACGCTTTGATTTGCGACTTTTCGGAGAAAACGTCGGCCAACGTTGATCTCCGCAATGGCATACATGTTTGCTGCGCGGTGCGCATGCGCACGGCGGCTCAAGCTTTTTTGCGGGAAGTTAGCAACTTGGGGGGTGTCAAAGTTTTGTTTGGAAAGAGGTAGATTGTGTTGATTTTGACAAAGAGGGGGTCATTCTGGGTTATTGGGGGGGGGCTGGGTTTGTGTGGGGGGCGCTTTGATGGGGTTATCTGCTGAATGTTATGTCGTAATCGGACGTTTATTTTACGTTGCAACAACGTTCCGGTCGTAAATTTATACATTACACTAAAGGACATTTAGTGTTTTGGGTGTTAACATTGTAACAAGTTTTTTATTGATTTAGATGGGTCGTAACTTGAAAGTTGACATTTATCCATAAAAGTTTATTTTAAAAACTTTTTTGTTCCGTTATTTTTAAGATTATTTCAGCTGCAACTGAGCTGTACATTTGAATAGTATATGTTCATTGTGGGGCAAATTATTGTCATTGTACCTACGAAAATGGGTACTTACAGAAATATTTGCCACCTCGAAGTACCGGTGTGTGTATTTTAGTATTTTATAAGAAATATGTGTGATGTTAAATGTCGTCGTTACATTTTATTTCTCGAACATAAAGCTGAGTTTATGATATATATTGTAATAGATCGCTTTCAAGAATGTCGGCTTTCACAGTTCGTAGAACACGAAAATGTTGACTGATTTATGAAACAATGTAATCACAACTGCCTACTTTGAAACTTATTGTCGTTTGCTCACTTACACTTCCAAAAATTTGAAAACGTTAAATATTTCAAAATTTTGTAAAATTATCTTGCCTAAGTTTTATAGCGTTCAGTAAAAGTACTGGCGGTGTGATAGTGCATCTATATTTTAAACCATACTTACACAGATTAGCATAAAAGTCTGAGAATATACGTATTAGACTTCTTCAAAATTTGATAAGAAATTAACATTGATTTAATGATAGCACAACATCGACTAAAATTGATTGGTCATTCCCGCCACAAAGTTGTTGACGTCATCTCCATTTATCTCCTTGGAATATCCGTTTTGGAATATCTTTGTGTGGTTTTTGAACCGAAAACCGACTAAAGTGGTGTTTAATGAATAAACATATAGTGTTAAACTTGACATCAGGTGTATAACGTCCATTTTACTTTTTCGTTGAGGTTTACTCATAACAAAAAGTTTATTCATATAATACCTTTTGATTTTTAACTGAATAAAATATAATTATTGCAAATAAAAAAATTAAAACGTAAAAGTAGCCAAGTTTATTGGAATTCGAGGTTGTTGTCAGTGTAAACATTGATAGAAAAATTAGTTCTGATTGGACAGTTTAAGGACTGATTTGAGCACACGCGTGTTGTAATGACGTACCTTGGGTACAACTGCGTGGTATTTAGCTCTTGCTACTTACTCCCAAGTCGAAATAATAACAAACGACCTATTCAATGTTTTCCCTAAAAACTGAAAATGTTGAGGTTAAAGGTCATAATTCAAGTATATATTCTGCATTCAAAGCTAAAGTAAGTAATAAGGTTTTTGATTATCAGTTCGTAGACGAAAAATGTAATCACGAGGACATAAAACTTAATATCAAATTCAGTTTTTCATTATTTGTTTCTTTTGTGGTTAACATATTAACATAGCAAGTTGTTACATAAAGTGTCTTGTGCTCAGTTGGAACGTATATACAGTTTACATAATACTTTAAATTCCATATCCATTCATGGTGATCTTTATTTTTTTTTTTTTTCAAATTTTAGTAAAACTTAGGAACAGTGAAAAAATTGGAAAAGTAGTGATGTGTACAGAAAATTAAAGCTGGTTTTATTGAAAAGTCATCAATAATTGCAAAGTTCGAGGGGCCGTTGTGTTTCTAATGAATTTCCAAACTAAAAAAGGAGGAACTTTCACTTTCGTATTCTCCAAGCTGTGAAAAATCGAGAAATCATGAAATTAGACTTTTGTCACTCAAGGAGTAAAAATACGATGGGATTTCAGATTTTAATCCACAAAAAAATTGATGTGTATATGACGAAGTAGAGCACATACCTGCTGTAAAAATTAACGCAAGATTGGTATTTAAACTTGAAATTGCAAAAGTGCATCGAGATTTCGAAATCTTACGCAAATACGACCCTAATTCTATTTTGTTCATATATTTTCTAGTCAGACTTGGAATTTACATTCCACTGCGTTTTGAATGTTGCGTTAATTTTTGTGAGGAGTGTATTATTTCTCGTATTCGTGGTTTCCGAATGAATCTAAAAATAATTCTGGGTTATTTTTGTTGTTAAGGAGCGAATATTTATTTTTATTGTGTTTTAAACAAACCATATTAGCAGTAGATAAGATTAAAGTAAAAAATATTTAAAAAATAATTGCGTTTCGGTTTACGGGGTATGAAACGATATTCCAGGGCTTTTGTTGAAGTTAACTATACATTACGTTATGTCTATGTGTCAGCACTTCGCTGGTAATTTAATGTTCATTATGCTAGATGGATGCTTCGTTATTCCATAAAATTTACATGAAATAGGTGGGTAAATGAGGTAGTCTTAACATTCTGTTGTTTTTATTTATTTAATCTGTGTACAGAGTGTACCTATTAAAATCATCCGACGTGTATGATAAAGATTGTTTATTGCTTTTTCTATGTTTGCTTGTTTGTAGTGGCATAATTACAATGTTTTATTCGTGCGTTAGATACGAGGAGAAATATTTTGAAATATTATCGTTCTGTTTATATCAACCACGTGAACCGAGTGTAATAAAAAGCTAAATGGATTTTAAGTTATCACGAATGTTAACAATTAAAAAAAAGTTATTTTAGGTAATATGTAAGTATTTACTTTTTTTTTTTTTTGATTTGGAGGAAGTGTATACCATTGGAAAAATAATGTCGTGGATGGCATAGACGACAATTCGTCGTGATCAGTGACAATGTTTTTAGTGTTTTGTAGTTGACATGTCAAAAGTGTGATTTATTGCTTCTGTTGATAGTAAATTGACCGTTTCCGAAGATAAAAGATAAAAACCGAAAAATACCACGTAGAACTTTTTTTTAATAAAATTAGGTAATCAATATTTGCTGCTGCGTAGAATGATTAAGGTCAAATTCATATACACTGTGGCACCTAAAAGATACGCAACTGTACTATAAAACGATCGCCCGTTTCACATTTGTTATATTTTTAAACACACCTAATAGTCGTTAGTGAAAACTTTTCCAAATTAAATTTTTTTTAGTTCATTCTCTACATAAAATCGATGACGTCATAAAAAAAGTGTGTCGAAATCTTGTCCAGAGTTGCATACGATTCTCGTTGCATTTCGAGAACGCATAGAAATATTGAAATTCTGCAAACGCCGTTGTCAGGTTGTTATAGACGAACAAATAAATTTTGGTTAGCGTTTCACCGTCTACATGATAGGCTTAAAGTACAGCCAAAATTTCACCGTAATGGGTTTGATAATTTCGGAGATCACGTGTTAATCTCCGACAGACATACCGACGGAAACTGGAGACCGAGTTTTATGTCCGCAGCTTACGTTCTGGACATAAAATACAAATTCGTTATACATTTAAGTTATACATTAACGTTTTACATATTTATATTTTTAATTATTTTACTACATAGGTAGGTTTTTTTATAATCTGAAGTAATTTTTTAATTTAAGTGTACTGCTTAATGGAGCAAAAAATACAAAATTAAAAATGCATAACCGAGGATATTGTTTTATATCAAAAACATCATTAAACCTTTAAATTGGGAATTCAGTAACACCACACAATTTTTTTGTTGTTTAACTGTGCAAAAAGTATAATTAATGGCAGCGAGCCGCGCAATTTTTCTAAATAATTTTGCGGATCGTAATGTCCTATTATTTGACTGTTCCACAATTTCACAATTATCAAATTAAAAAAAAAGACACCAGAGTGATAAAAGCCGATTTAGTAGAATTTATTTCTTTTGTCAGTCGATCTTCCAACTGTGAAATTATTACATTACCTGTTTGACTAGATATTTAAAAGTGTATCTAATTCAAATGCATTGTGTTGGACTTGGAAATTGTGTGCTTACTTCTCGTTAGCGTAGGAAGGTGGTTTACGGGACACATGTTTTTATTGTATGTTCTGTCGGTGTAACATCATAAAGTTAAAAAAAAATGCAACGATTTTATTGCTTTGCATTACCATATAGGTATATGTATATTTTTATTTACCTTTCATTGTCCACAATCGGCGGAATGTGTTGTTAGAACTCTCTAATAAATTAAGTAATGAGGGCCGCCATTATTAATTTGAAAAGAGTCTTTGTTGAATAACAGCCTCATCGTCTTCTAATTTATTGTTCCTCTTAAATAACCACCGTTAAACCGTTCCATTTAATAATGTTAGGTAACTTATAAAAAAGATGAACTGGTCACGGACTCGTTAAAAATTAAAATTGATTTTCTAGGCAAAGAAGCTGACATTTTTTATTTGTTGCCTCCGACTTTCTCTGTCATTTTACAAGGAACATAGCATTATTTAAAAACGACAAATATTTTGAATTGTTTTTCGACTGGTACTCAAATGTCATGACATGAAAGTTTATCCAACCGTTCTATACCTATTAGGAATTAATTTTAATAACAAGCTGATTAGAAGTGAAGTGTCCGCATCGAATTGCAAATTTTCTAGCGATCATAAGATACATTGGTAAGAGACATAATATCCTGTACATAATGTAGTCGGAATTACAATAAACAAAAGTATTGTTGTTTTGGTTTAACTTATTTTCACGCGGAATGCATATCAACTGGATGTACTTGGACTGGTAATATTTGACTATTGAATAAAAAACTCCATTAGATTAAGTGAATGCACCTGCAGGCATTCTCTACCGGTGCTGCATGCACTATTCAATGACGAAACTTTTTTTATGTTCTTGCATTGTAATCTCAACTTTCGCCGCACAAATTTATCTGTGTCGTGTAAACAAAATGCGCCTTGGAGCTTCGACTGCGTCTAATAAGTAGGTATCCAGCATTGGAATATTTATGACGACTATTCATGAATTTTAACGAAGAATGAGCCACAAATAAAGTTAATCATCGAGTTAGATAAATAGAGACACAAATGCTGATCTGACTTACTGTAATTTAATCCGTCATTAAATTAATGGGATTTTCATACATTTCCCAGGCTGTGTTTTCCAAAAACTTTAGATTATCAGTGGTATCTTTATACAGAAAGTAAGTAGATATGTTGTAGTAAAGACTTGCAACCTTGTTTCCGGCCGCTGTACCACTTTTTTGTGTAAAATTTTTTGTAGAAACATGTTTCAAATTTGACATGTTTGGCACTCGACACTTGGACGGGTGACGAGGTTAGATCACACCGCACATTTTTCTTTATCGTGGGTACTTCGGTGTTGTTTTTATGAAGGTTTTCTTTCATTTTATCTTGAATTTTCACAGCTCATACAGTAACAAATTGGCTTCCGGTTTGTCTGTGAGGTGTCGCTCGACCGAGATTTTTTTTAAATTAATAGTCCCGTGTAAATTTTACGGGAAAATATTTACTAAAAATTTTTTACTTATACCCTCTGACGTCATGTCAAAATTTTATTACTCACTGATCTATTCTTTTATTAGATTTGTGTACGATAAAATTTTTGTGACTTGTGGTAAGAATTAACATAGAGTTTGGAACGATATAAAATCAATTAAAAATTATTTGTTTATTTTCCGTAGAAAACTGATGACGTCATTTCAAAAAAGTGTATTCAAAGATTGGTTCTATAACTTATTTTTGGTAAATGTGCCTTCATCGTTTAGAATTATATGAAATGATTCCTATTTCAGAAACGACTCATCTAATTTCTTTGAAATACTGAGAGTAGCGTTCCGATTATACTAGACTGACTCATCACGTGGAAGTCGAATGTCACAAGTCCATGCTGAAGCCCACTTGCATCTAGTGTGGCTTAACCAATAACAACGCTAGGTTCGCTTTATTACGGCGATTCTAGTATTTAGATTAGGTAGGTTCATATTCCCTACAAAAATTGGTCAAGTCATTTTAAAATGTTTAAGGTTTTTTTTTATTCAAAAATACGTCCTGCTTTAGAAGCAAGGTAAGTTCGGAAAGAAGAGGATTTCTGTTCACTATTTGGCGGACTGTACTTTCACTGTAAACTTTTTAAATCTTGAAAATTTAAAAAAAAAATACATGACCAAGAAACAATTTATACGATGAGGAATTCATAAGATCAAGTCAATTTCTGGATTGATATGGATTTATTTATATTGTAAAAAATCGGTTGGTGAATGTTTCATTTCATGCTTTCTTGACGTGTTGAAGCACAAAGAACACGAAAAAATGGGTTTCGTTCCGTCTGTTGGAAATTGTTTTAAGGTGTAGTCGCTGAAATTTTGTTACAAAGTAATACGAACTTTTAAATGTACATATTGTAAAATTTAACTCTAGTTAAAATTTGTCTGTCAAAATTTACATTTTTTAAACTACGCGGTGATTATGAGACAATGATAAAAATTAATTTGTTCATTCTTTCCACGAAATTGATGACGTCACGTCGAAAAACTATTATGTTTTTCTTAAAAATGTTCCTTGAGAAGTGGTGTGCGTGTATTGTAGTAATATGCTGTTCGCTGTTGCTCGTTACACACGCCATCCCAGAAAAAAAATTTATGGATGATTACTTTTATCGATTATTTAGAAACGGTTCATCTAATTTCCAGAAATTCTGTCAATACAGTAACGTTATGATTAATGGTACGTTGTCTACGTTAAATTTAACATCGCTCCCACCAAAAACTCGATGACGTCATCTGAAAAAATGCTAAACAAACTTCATTGAAAAGTGGGTCTTGGCATGCATTTGTTGTAAAGTTTTGGAATTTCATTGTATCCCATAAAATTTTATTGGCAATAACGAGACGGACAGTAGTACAATAGTAAGACATATTTACAACTTAAGTTGTCGCGTGCCGGTATTCCCCAGATGTTAGACAGCAGAATAATCGAGGTCCGGACAGGGACCATCGTTGCTCATGGATGGAAATGACTATTATTTTATGAGTACAACTACCTGCTAAATGTTCTCAGACAAATTCGAGTGAACTGGTGTGAGCCATAAATATTTCTTACCATTGTACTACTGTCCGTCTCGTTATCGTCAATAAAATTTTATAGGGTAGAATGAAATTTCCAAAACTTTACTTCTGAAGCAGGGGATGGTCTTTTTAAATTTGTATTTACTCGTATATTGTTATGTTATGTCGGTCTGTAATAAATTTTGTGATGTTTTTAAGTAGATCAGGTTTCTGTTGCACACAAACGTTTCACCAATACCATAGTAGAGGATATGTAATACGAGAGCGTGGAAGGGTGAATCTGATGTATTTTTTCTGCGAAAATCCATAACATTGAATGTCGACCAAAACAGATTAGATTTCAGATATATAATTTTGTCAACCCAGCGACTACAGATCTTTTTGTGATAAGAGCAGGGCTAGTTTATATTTTTTGAACAAAATTTCAATTGTGAATACACATACTCGGATAAGTGTTCGATTTTTAGTTGATAGTACAGATAGCTAATTTGCTAATGTATAGGCATTCGCGTGATCATCACATCAAATGTGGTTAAGTTTTCGAAAGCCATCAACATGCGATTGTAGGGGAAATAATATTAACGATGTTAATAAATCTTGTAACTTAAACAATGTTAGTTTCAACACTTAACATTTCATGTTTATTTTTGGTGTGTATCTACCAATCTGACGTTTAGACATCACAAAATTGCTTTTATACAAGTTTAGATAAAGTGAAGAGCTCTAAGTATATCAATATAACCATGGGAGTTGTACTAAAATGCTGATAATTACAAAAAGTATGTAAGATTATTAAATTAGATGAAAAATTGAACATAATTAGGAAGTCATTAAATATGTGCTACTATATGGAGGATTTTATGTGGGGACTCAATTATTTCCTTTTAAAAGTTTAGCGTGTCAGCGAGGACAAGTTTTGACTTTGTGTTTCATTCTTGTTTTTTATTGCAATTGTTCTTTTTTTTTAATTTTTTTTTGAGAAGTAGGTGGGACCACAAATGGTGTATAAATATTTAAACATAAAACTTAATACTTTGTCGTAAGTCTATGTGCAAAATTTTTAAAACAGCGACACTTTTTCCAGCCACATTGATTTGGAACGGAGTTTAGGCGTATTTTTCTAATTAAAAAAACTTAACTTGTACGTCAAAATTGTATTATCAAAATTACGAACAATAGTCGAAAAAAAACTAGGAAAAAAAAGTGTAATATACCGGGTGTCCTAGTTTACTAATTCCATTTTGTCTTTATTATCTGGAAAGATGGAAATTTTAAATTAATAATAATGGTTAATTAACACAAAGAAGTCTACTAAGTATAAACGTACTTTTAGTACTCTGGTCTTTTCGGAAGTGACGTCGACTTTTTCTTTCCATATAGAATGGAGTCTCTTTTCAAATAACGGCGATATTAAAATGAAACTGCTAAACTATATTGTGTTGTATTTTAAAGTTGTTGTTGATTTGATTGATTTTGATTTTCACTTTTTGAAAGTTTATATTGACAGTAAATGTAGAGGCTTTTTTTGAATGGTGTATTATGCTTTCCTATGGTAGAAAAAATTAAATTGTCTAACATTTGACACTTAGAAAAACTAGTTTAAAAATTCACTCTTATGATAATTGTCTTTACCAGGCGAAGATGTCATCGACTGGCGTGGTACTGGAGCCCCCCTCCAAACCCCACAACTATAAACCTCACATAAAAAACACAAACAACAACACTAGCTCGAAAAGAAAATTCAAACATGATCGATCCGGTCGCAAACGCTCGAAGAGTTTCTCAGGCTGTGGATTAATGATGGACATGAAACCGGTACCTCCGACGAAATTTTTACTAGGAGGGAATATAAACGACCCTCTTAATTTGAACAGTCTTCAAGATGAAGAGATCAATAGAGCCATGAATGCTATCACCCCCAAGTCATCGCCGATACCGACTCCTCCGCGGAGGAAGGGTCAGATCGAGGTTATCATCCCCCCGAACATCAACGATCCCCTCAACCTGATAGGCTGCGCCGACGACGCCGAGTACGAGCAGCAGCTCTACTCCCCGGTCAAGAAGGGGCGGAAAAAACGCCTGAAGAAGCGGAGGACGATCTCGGCCAACTTGGAGACGTCGGAGGTCGATATTAGCGGGAACTCGGAGGCGAGAACTCCGGAAACGTTGACGGACTCGGCGAAAATACCGGAAGTGAGTGAATGCTCGAAAGTTAGCAAGGATCTGAGTCTCGAATTAGCTTCACCAAAGAAAGAGAAGACCAAGCGAAAGATGGAGGACCACGGGCCGGTGGCCGCCAAGAAGTTCAAGTATGCCATGGATAAGATTGTTAGTCCGGTGGTGCCGCAGCCGGGCGCGTGGTCGAAGAGGCCGAATACGATCAAGAAGAAGAAGCCGAGGCCGAATAGGGACACCACGGAGGAGATGCCGCAGTTTAAGGAGAAGAACAAGCAATTCCAGTACGGGAACTATAACAGGTAGGTTTCAGTCTGGGGGCGGGTTTTCAACTTCTTAAATTAGGAGTTTACTTTAGTGACTGGATATTCGAAGGAATCGTGAACTAAATTTTGATTTTTTTGGTGAAAATTAGGGAATAAAGAGAGTGAAAGAAAGAAGTAGATGTGCTGAGTAAGAGCGAATTTCTGACTGCGAATTTTAAATGGATGGAAATTATTCGACTGAAAAACAGCTATTTTGCACGTCAGATAAGGTGATAATAATAATAAATTGCACACTTGATAATTTTTTGCTTATATTGTAAATACAGCTGTCCCACCATTTATGTTAAAAAAAATTTTTAAAGGGGAAAATAACAATGCTTATATATGCAGGCGCTACGACTTCTTAAAACGAATCTAATGTGTTCTGTTTGTAGATTATATATCCTCTAGAGATTTATGCTCTTCAGCCGTCTTAAACACGGAATGTCTCGTCAATTTTTAGATCTTGACTTCACCGTGGGTCTCAGTATTCTAGATTTTTTTTTTTTAACTAAAATTCATGAAACATTTTTCAAGCGTCGCAAACCCATTTTCTGTTATATTTTTATATTAACTCACCTCTTGACGATATCATACATTTCTAGGGATATCGATGGCTCTTTGGAAGAATTTCGATGAACTGTTGGTAACACAACCTATTACGCACCCCTGCGAGACCGAAAAACTTGACACAAAAACATCAGGTCCCGCCATCTGTGTTGGTATTTTACTGACAGCTTTTCCCAACCCTTTGGTAATTAAAGAAACAACGGAAAGTATAGCCAAAGGTTCTGACTTCTTGTTTTGAAAAGTGCTAATTCGGGCATAATTTTTTTTGTATATTTGAACTTATTTAGTAATCGTGACTCTAATACTTATGTTGAATTCGTTGCGTCTACTTGAAGTTTGTGCACTAGTGCCCTTCCTGAATATGTCGAATTCTAACCTACTACTGTTTCTAGTTACTAACGTGTATAAAACGACAGTTTTCTGTTGCGCTATTCTTCAAAGTATAATGAAATAGAGTTATTAAGGTTAAAATTGAATACTTTCATAATTTTTCTAAATTCGTATTTTTTTTTCTTCTAGTAACTTTGGTTGTATTTATTAATGATCTATTTTGAATATTACTAGCGTTGAAAACGGCGAAAACTATATGCGTTATACCTAACGATATCTATGGAAAGTATTCAAGCTTTCCTCACAAATCCTTTTCAGATGGGTGAATGAAAAGATCAGCTTTCATCGTTAATTGAATTTATTCAGCTAACCATTACTTCTGTTGTGCCGTTGTTTTTGTGATTTGTGTATCGAATTTGGACATTCTCAGGGGTTGGTTGATTTAGTTCTTAAAGTGACGTTTGAAATATTAGCAAGGGCAAATATTTTGATTGAAATTTGGTAATTTATTCACTTTCTATAACGTATGTCGTAAGTATTTGAAAAAAAGTCGGGTTAGATATTTATTCTTTATTTAAAAGTAAGTTTTTAATAATGAAACATACGTTTACATTTATATCCTTAAAATTGATGTTTTTATAGGCAAACAGAAAACAGCCGTAGTTTTATTTTAATGTATCACATAAGCCTTGTTATGTACCACCCGCTGATGATATCCCACTGTGTACCAGGGTTGACCCGATTTAAATCTCATTCGATTTAAATTGTTTGGTATCTATCTTTCAACACAATTAAAGTAAGTCGAGTAAAAAATATAGATTTCCTGTTTCCGGCTGTTGTCGTCTGTTGGTCTGACAGCAACTATGTTAGAATCGCCTAACATACAGTAATCACATGAAACCGCAGGTAAAACTAAATAACATAAACATCTTTTTATGATCTTTTAACAACGAGTAAGTAAGTGACATTTGTTAAGTACTCGGTTAGTGTGGTGCGGCTCCCGATAGAATTAAGTTTTGACTCCGTTCCATTTCGCATGGGCTGATCGAATCTTCTTTACGCGAAAGTGCCTCACTACCAGTTTTCCAATATGAGTTTATATTTTTAATCTAAATACACTTAAGTATATACGGAAATTCCGGCACCGAAGTTTGTGGTTTCAAATGATTGCTACATTGTTGTTACCCCCTCCAAAACATGTGTCCGGTGTATTTCGTTAGGAATCAATTAAGTTTGACAGCATTCTAATATGATGGTGTACTAATCCAGATTTTGGTTCTCTTAATTACAGATGTTTACAAATGCATTAGCGATAACCTTAATCTGCCAAATGCAGTTAGGAAAAGTTGTATTTTCAGTGCAGTTTAGTGTCAGTGAAAATTGAAGAGGTTACGATATATGTATCTGTGATATCGTTTTTTATTTACTTTTTCTTGTTTGTGTTTTATTTTTTTTTTTTCGAAATTTAATAATTAGTAGTATAGTAGATAAACCACATCTACTTCCATTATTATTGTTCTGATATTCGCAAAAGCGGTTGCAGTCTAAATGAACCAGTTGATTGGAGTTGATTTCTTATAAAAAATGTCGACTCATTTGTAATATAACACGATTTCATTAAACGTCAATCGGTGTCATGTGGGCGTGTGAATTAACAAGGACATACTCATTTATTACAATTCATGTTTATCAAGTAATGTAGTAGCGAATTTCTTTCACATGTAATTTTGTTAAATTAACACTAGTTATGGTGCTTAACAGGTACCGATTATTAATTTTAGTATACTTTCGGTACAATTTGAATGACAAACAAAAAGTTAATCAATAGTGACAGCATGTTATCTTTTGGTGCTGCACAGTGTACTTATATGTAATATTGACAATTTCTGCCCGTGGGTGGTTGGAGTGACGTTATTATTTATAGTTACCAACTTGTGGGTAAGAATTCAATTCAAAGAAATTACTCACATATTCCAGATCGCTTAGTTTTCCATATCCAGTTACTTAAAGTGACTATTCCAGCGCTATCTATATGCAAGTAATTATCTTGCGGTATTTGAAATTTTTTCGTATCGTTGACGTTAGACAGAATCGTTGCATGTGTTTATTTTATGATAAGACATAGGGAAATAATTTTTTGCATGGGGTAAAATACATATCTATAAAAATAAAAAAAAAAAATAGAATATTTAAACGTCAGTAATATTAGCAATGTGGAAAATTGATAAATATTTCTTGTTTACATAACTACGACGTATAAGTGTTAGTTATCTTTACATGCATAAAAACGCTGTTGTGGTAGTTTTGTTTTGCATTATGTTTACTTATACTGGACATCGCAACAACATTTTTATCGTAACTGAATGTTACCAGATGTAAAATATTTACCGGAATGGATCATTTTAAAATTTTCAAATGTTGAAACGGCTTCGTGGCACTGATTTCCAAGTTTTTTTAGGTACTACGGTTATAGGAATCCCCACAATGAGATCGATCAAAGACTCAAAGTCTTCTCTCATTTTCGATACATGTTTGAAGGAAAAGACATCTTAGACATAGGATGTAATGTAGGCCACGTAACTCTCTCTGTAGCACGAGATTTCGGTGCTAAAAGCGTAACAGGCATAGACATAGACCCAAAACTGATTGCAATCGCAAGGAAAAACGTAAAATATTACGTAAAAAATTCAGAATCGCCGAAACCTGATCAGGTTAACGGGATCGAGGTACCCAAAAAGAAAAGTAGTGAGTTTTTCCCTATTTCTATGCCCATATTATATGGATCCATTGACATTCCAGGCTTTAGTGATGCTAATACTGGCCGAGATTTTCCGAACAACGTTGTGTTTAAAACGGTAAGTTTTCTCTTGTCGTTGTGCGTAGGTGCTTCATCGAAAATTGTTTCAGTGCAATTACGTCCTAGACGACGATTCGCTTCTAGCTCTAGAGCAGCCACAGTACGACGTAATTCTGTGTTTGAGTATCACTAAGTGGATCCATCTTAATTGGGGGGATGCGGGCCTGAAGCAAGCCTTCAGAAGAATGTACGCGCAGTTGAAGCCAGGCGGAAAACTGATCTTGGAACCACAGAACTGGGCGAGCTACAAATCGAAGAGAAAGTTGACTGTAAGCAGTGTGAAAAGCGGGTTTCAGTTTTCACATTTTTCTTGTTACAGGAAACCATTTTCAAAAATTACAGCGGGATCGAATTCTTCCCTGAGAAGTTCACCGAGTATCTGCTCTCGTCCGTGGTGGGTTTCGCTAAAAGAGAAATTCTGGGGTACCCAAACCACCACTCCAAGGGTTTTCGGAGGCCGATCCAGGTCTTCACGAAGAGCACGATGTTTCCCAGTGAAAGGATCGAAGCAACACCAAACAATATCACACCAAACAATCCAGTGTATGATGATTCTCTCTATCAAAGGATAATGAAGACTGAAAAATACGAATCTCAGACGCAACCACAAGTCGAGAAGTCGGAACATATTTATTATACAAATATTTTGAACAGGTACTGTGGGAATTCGGACGAGAATTTCGAAGCCAATCACCTTATTGAGGAAGATTTGAATAAAATGAAGACTTCTAATGATGAGAAAACATGTGATGGTTTGGAAAATGTTTCGGGAGATAATACTTAAGTTGTTTCAGTATTTGCGTTCGTTTGCGTACTTCTTTTTGTACAAATCGTTATTTTTTTTTAATGTTCGTTTGTTTTGGCTTTATGTACATATGTATAAACTTGCAAGTATTAAATTTTCTTTAAGATGGGTGAGTCTTATTTCGGGAGTTAGGAGCTTACCGATTATTATGTGACCTTTACAAGTTTTTTTGTCTGGTTTCACACCGTCTATATTTTGCTTCAGTTATTCAGGTATTAAGTGCCTATAACTGAAACAGTTTCTAATTGAGTTTAATGGCTGTAATAACAATTAATTATCGCACTACGATAATTTTAATTAGGACCGCCAGGATTAAACAGGTGTAACCTAGCAATACTGATTTCAACGTGAAGTAATTTATTTCCAAAACAAAAATCGCAAATTATATCAATATAATGTTTACATAGTATGAACACACTGTTGCTTCCGCGACACCGAATATAGCAAACTGTCACGTGTTTCTACAGCTACGCTGTCGCCTTTTCGAAGAATCATTTTAATTTAAACGCGAAAAAAGAGGTACTATAGGAACGTACTTCTGTCGCGAGAGCTGGTGTTAATTCTATTCTGATATTGGAGAAAATCGATACATATTTTAATGCAGTTAACATAGTTACTTCACATATATGGTTGCGATATAATTCATCAAAATGTAATAATTCTGTTACAAAAACCCGCATTCTTTTCTAATCAGAAACTTTAGATTTAGTTACATTACACAAACGTGACTTTTCAGTTCTGAACCCTCGACCGAATTTTCGCCAACAATCGGTTCACACTAGGAAGCATTCTGTACGCTTTTAGTGAGATTTACTTTAAGAAAATTTTGGGACTGTTTATCAAATTTTTGGAAGTGACATGAACCGACGAATTTTGATCAGCGAATGCGAATGTATAAAATGACAGCTTAGCAAAATTTTGAAATCGCGAACAGACATATGGAAACGGAGTACCTACTTTTTCAGATTCTAAAAAAATATACCGCGCCACTAAACTTCTGTTGTATTCTTTTGTTTGGTGTTGTATGTAATGGTAAATGAGTGACACTTTTGAATAAATCTGATTTATTTTTCTAACAATAAAATAACCAATATTGAATTAATGACAATAACAATGAACTATTTATTATTAAAAAGTTTTAGTAAATATTTGAAGCTATCATGCGTTGCTTTATTTTTCTACACATAGTATTTCATATAATAAAATCTATAACTATTGGCAGTTTCAGGTGTATTTATAACTAGACAATCATAAATCATCACCTAATAATTATGATGTAGGTCCTGTCAGGTTCTTCCAGTTTCTAGTTTATTTTAGTCGTGTTAAAGCGTTTGAATGTTATTATTACATCTTTGCACTTAGTTGAGGTATAGTATCACTTCATGTTTTTCTTTACAATCAGTACTATCATTATCAAAAAATAAACAGTAGTATGTATAACGTCTATATTTTACATTAATCTATTTCAAACTTTCAAACTAAAAGCATAGATTAATCTATTTATCAAAAATTGATTAATTTCTCTAATTCTGTATACATGTCGTAAGTCCTTTCCCTCTTGACGCCACCACGAGGAACTAAAGTTATACATTACATCCGTCACGTCAAGAAAAGTGATCAAAGGAATCTAAATAAGTGCGTAGACGAAAATTTTCTTCAGTATCGTATGTTGAGAACTTCGAAAGAGTTTTCAAACGACGAATCTAAGTCTGAATCGTCGAAATCATCAGAGTAGTGTCTAGTAACCGCAGGCAAGTACACAAACGGTTTGTGCTATTCTTCCGTTAGTTCCCATAACATAAGAGCAGCGTCGGTACCACCAACTGTCACGACGTTTCGGTCGTTGAACAAGAAGCGCGCACAAGCTACTTGTCCGCTGTAGACCTTCTCTTCGTTGTATTCGGCTTTAGGACTCAGAACAGGATATCTGCAACAACTTTCGTTAGCATGGAATGACAATAGTAACTTTGTTACCTGAAAAGTCGAATGTAGCCGTCTGTATCTCCGGATATCAGCAGGTCATGGGCTGCCGATCTGCCAACGGTACTTATAATCGATGTCATTGGGTAAAAGCGGTTGTTCCAAACGCCTAGAAATTACAATTTCAGTGTGTACTGGTTACTTGAGTTTTGTTACGAACCGGAAACCAAAAAGCCGACTGTGGAATTTTGGGTATACCACTTGACGTCTTTCATCGCTATGGGGCTCTTTTCGGGTGATAGAGATTTCACGTCCCCTAGAATTATCTATTTTTAGGAAAAACTGGCTAGTGTGGTAAGAACTTACAGAAACATAAGTCGAAGTCGGCGGTTACAGTTTGCAAGAAATTGCTGTCTGAACTCCAATCCATTTGGATTAAAGGCTGGGAGCCTCTTATTTTGTTTGATTTTTTGTAGGAAAATCCGTCGCGGCTCACTCGGAATAAGTAAATGCTGCCGTTTTGTGAGGCTATGGCTATCAAGTCACCAGCTAAAAAAAGCGTTGATTTGTATGGTTGTGTTTGAAATAAATAGTGAGGGTCGGCTCTATGTGAATTGTCAATACATAGTTTCATCGATATCAGCATATTAGTTATTTGGTCTTAGTACTTATAATAGCAGAAATATTGTCTTAATATCGGTCATATCCGGATTAGTGGTCGGTCTCGAGTAGTAATAATAATAATAACCCCTGTCCGGGATCGGGGTTGAATAATCAACAATGAACATGTGAAAGAGATCTCGAAACCTTAAAATAAAAATAAAATGAGACTAATGACACTAACCACAATACTTGAGATACAGAAAAGAACGGCTCCAGAAAAATAAGAAAATCAGTTGATTTCTGAAAAGGTTACTCTCCAAAAAATTAAATAACTTAAATATAGCCAATGATGTAGAGTAATTTTAAAATTTAGAATGAACCCAGGAAATGGAACCATCAGATAAATACTGCGCCGCACCCATGATTGTTACAAATCTATAGGAATGACCTAAATCAACCTGTCAAGAACTAACGGGATCGAGCGTGTTAAAAACAAATCACCCTAAACGCATTGGTCACCACCCAGACAATAAGAAAAAACAAGAGAATTTAGCCATAACACATACTGGGTTTTCCAGTAAATAAAAAGTCAGCTCCGTTATATCTCGAAACCGGATAGATATTGAAATTTTGTAAGCTCCATTATTTTTAGCTTGAAGGGTTTGTGGCGGCACAATAACACGCGGGTAAAGCAGAGTAAAGATAAGTTGTCTTGTGGTGTAGCGGTTAGCATACCAGCCCGGATTGCTTGGAGACGTGGGTTCGAATCCCATCGAGGCACAACATTTTTCTCTGCTTTCCCACATTGGTGACCTCCGACAGGCAACGCGCACGCAACATCCTTCTGCCACCGCCCTGTGCCCGCTGTGTTCGGGGTCCGCAGCACCGCCAGGGTTCGAACAACGACCGTAAGAGTGGTAGGAGCGACGCCAGCAACTATCTCCTTCGCACCCCAGCACGACCGCGCGCTGTGTCGCTGGGGGGGGAGTACTGTGGCGGCACAATAACACGCGGGTAAAGCAGAGTAAAGATAAGTTGTCTTGTGGTGTAGCGGTTAGCATACCAGCCCGGATTGCTTGGAGACGTGGGTTCGAATCCCACCGAGGCACAACATTTTTCTCTGCTTTCCCACAGGTTCATTAAATTTAATCTAGTACACCCCTTTGACGTCCGCGTTGCGACGTAGATTTATATATTTTTAAGGCTAGTTACATACACTTACGTGTTTATTTCATTTTCAGTGACTAAAAAATATAAAATTGATAAATGTTAAACTTATAAATAAATAATCAGGTATTGTCCCATCTTATCGCCGTGTGTTTCTTTTGGATTCTAGAGCCACATTTTTTAACAAGAGATGTAACCTTTCCTGTCAAGGCTTGAGTACTTTACGCCAAGGAGTGTGTGTGTTTTTTTATATATACTTATATAACCATCTAAATACCACGCGCCTACGCCAAAGATTTATGCCTAACGTTCGTTCTCTCGTTTCGTGTACCCAATTTGAAAAACAATAAAAAAATGTATTAGTTCAAGATTTTTGACTTTAAATAAAAATTAATACAACTAGTAGCTCGTAGCAAATAGATACATTTCTTCATCTGGACAATTTATGTTATTTACAGTTAAAATTAACATTGTTACGAAATAAACCCATACACCGCTTCGATACGACGCCTGTGGGTTTTCTAGTATGTGTGGAGATCCGGTGACTCATCGTCACCGACGGCGGCGCTCGAATAAAGAAAAGCCTGGAGGCGGAAGTCGCGATGGACACTCCAGAAAAACTTCGACCGCGAAATATCTAGAAGGAACGTATGGATTTAAATAGAGGCCACCCTCGGGAGCAAATCAGTCTAGTCTTATCTAGGAGTCGGTTAATGAGTTTGAATTAAGTTGATTAGAATTATTCCCTGTTATACATAGTTTCATTGTCTATTTAGTAGTATAAATTTGTATTACCTACTGAGCAATAAATTGTTGAGTTTTATCCACACCGATTTTAATTATCGATTATACTAACAATATAAAACATAATTTTCTTATATAACAGCAATCGGAATTTATTATTTTATAAAAATCCGTAAAAAGAATTGTTACTCTTTAAAAAAAATACACGTTTACGTAACGACGCCTACCCTAAATATGCGTCATATGTACATACAGTGTGCTAAATTAAGCTTCTTTCTTTAATTTAAAAACAATGCCGATCACAGAACTTCAACATCTCTATTCATTTTCAATATAAAAAGTCGTGGAATTTTATCGGGTACATCCTGCCTAGATTAAACAAAAGCCTTTGACGCTGTACAAATCTTCAGGAATAAAATATTTATTTTTATAAGTTTAGTAATGACCAAATAGAACACTACAGTGATAATAACCACTAACCATAAAAATGAGTATTTCTTCAGATTTATTAAACGCCTTGTGGTTTTATACTGTCAGATATACTAAAGAGAACAAAATATTGTGGTGTTCCGATTTGAAGAACTAAATTTCGCGTTGAGAAAAAACAAGGCCGCGAAACCGCTTTTGAAATAAAAATTAATAATAATTCCAGTAATGTAGTAATCATCATACATGAGTAGTACGTTAACAGGATTAGAAGTCCACCCTTTTTAGGTTGGTAGTTTAGGGTTGGAATGTATAGTGTCCGAAATACTACAAGGCTATATGGCCCCACTAAACTTAATCATGGGATGTTATAATTCCTTTTGTGGGGCTGGTTGCCGGCTCAATTCTAGCTTCATAAATCAAGGATTTGTCTCAATATCTTGCCACCTCAATATCTACTGCTGGGTAATCCGCTTAAACATTTCTGGCACATTAAACCAACAGAAATACAATTTACAACTGTGGGTTTGCCTTATTAACTGCTCCATTGTCGTGTTCACAATACCCTAATTTTACAACAGCCACAACAGCCATATAACCGTGTAGTATTTCGGAGACTATACAACGGGTACAGAAACTTGAGGATCAATGGGTTGAGGATAGGTAAAATTTAGTTTGTATTTAACAAATTGTTTAAACAAAAATGAATCGCATTTGACGCCACTCTCGTCTCTCAACGAGTGTAATTAGTGTAGGATCAGTTAATTAACGATTTTCTAATCCGAAATATTGTGAAACCTTGGCCTTACCAGCACGTGTAATTTTTGTTTTATTATTTGTAAATTCAATACGATTTCAGCAACAGTAAGGGAAATGTTCCCGTAAAACACGTGACAGGAAATTCACACTTGGAAGAGCTTCATTACAGATTTAATTATTTTCTTACAGCTTGAATTTGAACATTTATTCTCGAATTATGATTTTGATTCTAGCCGTATTTAATTTGTGGCTATTGTGTTGATTTCATGTGTTTTGTTTGTGTGTGATACGGGATTTATTTTCTGTCCACGACGATGTAATCTGTCAACACATTTTTGACTCAATCAATAAGTTGATAATTTAATATTATGTGAGTGTGGCGTAATTAAATATTGTTTTTTTCCTTCCTTCTAATTCTGGTACTCATCGTTCTAAGTTCAAGAAATGTAGGATTTAAGTTTTAATAAAAGTACAACATTTCGTGACGAAAGCTGGCCATTTTTTCTCATATCATAATAGATGTTAAATTGCAAACTTCATGAGGGACGCGCGTTCGCGTGACACGCGCAGTTTGGCTGTTTTGCTCAGGAGGGGTGGAGCGTATAATATGGGGCAGGTTTTTTGGGAATGAAGATGTGGTGTGTGTGTTATACCTGCAATAGAATAAAATTATCAGGCAAGGGTGACAGACTACGACGAGGAACTTAAGTTCCGCTGTCGCTACAACGTCCTGAACGTCGAAAAATTTTATACATCATGTCCCTATCGAACCTAGTGTAGAAAAGTGTTAAACTAAAAAATTAGAAACCAAAAATAATAAGTGAATATTAAATCTATGGAAGAAAATGAGGTCTATAAGAATGGAAAAACACTATTTTTGTGTGCTAATAAAATTTTGTGGCGTAATTAATGTCAACAATGATTGAATTTGAAATATGGAATTTGAGAAAATAGTTCATTGGTCTTGGTTAAATATTGCGCCAAATAATTCATGATAGTGAGAGTCAAGTACATAGTAGACCCATTGATACATACAAGAGCTAATACCCTATTACTGTTCTATTCTTTACTAGATAAATAAATCCGCTCCTGTTTAGCGTTTGCCAACTGCCAAGCTTCGACCCAGGATTTGTGATTTATGATCTTATGGAGTAGTATGCTTACAGTATATTTGGGAGTCTCACAAGCAAATAAAGTATTATCGACACTGTAAAATATCCCTGAAGGTACTAAATATGCATGCAAAAACCAGAGCCTAATTACGCTGGTCCGCTACGTCCTAAAATACATGAAAATTTCAACACAAAGCTGTGAAATGCGAAATTCCATGATAACAATAATAATAACGACCCAACTAAATTTTTAATTAATAATGGTTCTAGTTTTTATGTTGAAATAACAAATGAATAAAAATAGATTTTTCCATATATGGATTTAAGTAAATAAATTGTCAGTGTTTTCAAGAATATGCTACATTGTTTCAGGGTAAATAAATATTTTTTAGAAAGCACGTTATAGTTATTTGCCATAATTTATTTCACTATTATTTCAGCTTTGAATAAACCCTATCAGGTTTAGTTTTGAAATTTATGTCCCGTTAAGCGATTCGATCACTATGAATTTCTCAGTATTACTAGAATAACCAAGGCCATACTGAACATTCATATCAATCTTTATTTAAATTAGTCACGGGATATCATCTAAGATTTTTGTTTGTTAATCATAACCTTTTTAATTTCATGTATTTATGTCTAGATTTATGACAATGGAGTTCCGGAACACGGAGGTGTTTGAGTTGGTTTAATATTGTTTAGCCTATGGACGCCCATAAAGTGTATATAGATGAAGACGGTTATGGTGTGTGAAAAACATGCAAAATATATTTTTGTATGTAAATTCGTGACTTCCGATATAGTTTAAGCAATGCTGAAAGAACCAAACGAAGAAATGTACAAATGTTAAAGATTAACGAATTAGCCATAGCGCCGCCCTCAGTTAAAACGAAAAATTACTTGGATTATATCCCACGCAACTCAGCGGCGATCCACACACCCGTATGGTGTTGATAAGTGTGCCCGTTTCTGTGTTTATTATAATAAGATGTCCTTCAGTACTTCCGGCAGCCAAAGCCACACCAAACGGATGAAAACTCAACGATATACATTCAAACGCAACCTAAAGAATTTTCATTAAAACTCCAGAAATCACCTCACTTAAATCTACCTGTAACGTCCAAATAAACTTATTCTTCCTCCACAGAGCAATATTCTTATCGTGTCCAGCAGTCGCAAAAACTTCATCGTCTGGATGAACCGCCAAACCCCACAACTGACGACCGTGGCCAAACACAACCTGATTAAACCTCCTCTGCAAGGAACCTTCCAAAATATTGTTCTTTGTAGTACCAACATAAATATTGCCATCGTTTCGTCCAGGACGCTGCGGATAGATCGACCGAACACCACCTGCAGCTTCTGCAAGCTAAAACTCCAAATTAAACAACGACTTTTACTATAAAAGTAAACAAACTTTCGTTTCTGTGATTTTCTTGTAGTTTTGAAGCGAATCCCACGCTACGATTTTCCGGTCTTTGTCGCCACCAGAGAGAAGTGTTCCTTCGGACAGCATAACCAAAGAACTAACTCCTTTATTGTGTGCTTCGTATTCCATGCGGACGAAGTAAGCGCCGTCGCTGTCCACACTGTAAATTGTGATGAAGCCGTCGCTGTCCGCAGTGATGACGTCGCCGTCTTGTTCGAATTGAAGAGCGGTGATGAGAGTTCTGGAAGGCTATTTTTTTGATTATTTTGATGAGATGTTAGTGTTTTTGTTTTTACAGGTTTAATGATGTCGGTTCTTTCGAAGAAACCGTCTTTCCGTCGGTTCCAGAAGGTTAAGTGTCCTTTTCCGTGGGTTATCATGAGGTTGTCGTCCAGGGGGTGGAAAACGGCTCCAGTGAGTTCTTCTTGGAGTGTCTGCGAAATGATATTCAGGTTGTGAAATGTACCATGCAATTTCACCTTGGCGGTTACACGCATTTCATTACTTTGCATATTAAAGCACGAAAGTAGGAAGTTATTAAAAGGTTGATTTTTTTCTGTAATGAGTATGTGAGTTTGATGTCTTTAATTATGTCGAGAATGAAGTAAGCAGTCATTTCTTCTTGTTTAATCTGAGAATGGCATTATTTAAGGAACGATCAATACCTGAAAACGAGTTTCGAGAAATGTATATTTCTAATTACCTTAAGTTACTGTTTTAACTAAAGTTTTTTCATACGTATTTTTCAAACATTTAGTACGTTTGTAGAGTAATTTAGTTACATTTTAATAAATTTCTGTTTTATCGACTGTTTTTCTGTTCAACGTGGCACGAAAATGATTTGTATTGTTTTAAAAACGCATTAATTTGACTAGGAATTTAAATAGTACAAATCAAGTGTGGCCTAAATAACTGTTATTATACTAATAAACATGACTAGAAAAAATTCGCTACCACGAAGGTACCAGAATTAGTATTCTAATATCTTTTGGTGATTTAATATTTATTATGCATGGAATGGAATATAGCCGTACATTTTAGTATTTAAAACAGTTTTGTTTTGCACTATAGTACTTTCTTAAGTCGCGTCATACACAGTTTTATTTATTTTGTATTAAATTTAATGTTTTTTCAGATGAGAATTCAACAATTTGATGTATCATAAGCGTAGTATTTAGTCTACGTCTAAAAAAAACTATATCTAATGTTATTAGCACATTTTCTTTCTTCTAAAGCGAAATCAATATTTATGTTTATTTTTCAGCACAAATTTAACTATAATAATGATTTCTTTAGATGACGTCATCAGCCTTTCGCCGGGAATAAATATACAAATTTTGTTACTGTATTGTTAGTAACATGTTGCCATACTTACCGTATTCAATAACGTTGTAAAAAATACCTTACAAGAACAATACTAGAAATATCACAACCAGTAAGGCATTTCAGGTCATGTTTTTAACAAATATTCAAAAATAATTTTTTAAGATCGTTTGTATGTGTACTAAAGTGGACTAAAAAGCTACAGGCAATGAGCAAGCGATGACATGTATTTAGTAAACTGTTGAGAGAACGTCAGCAATTTTGAAAAGACATGAGTAGATAAGTTTTAACATAGCTGATTGGCAAGTTTTAATTTTTAATAAATTCGCTGGCAGGTGAAAACCAAATGAGAGATTTTTTAATGAAATTGCAAGAATGAGACATCAATTTTTGATATTATAATGGTTACATTTCCAGATAAAAACAATATAAAATTTTGTGGAAAGAATAGAAGAATTTAATTTAAAATATTAAAAATTATTATTAATAACTTATATATTTAAACGACAAATAAGTTTATGTTTCGCCGTAGACGTCCAAGAAAGATATAATGAACTATTTTTTTTTATTTTAAAAATTTTATAGGCGCTTCAGAGAACATATTTGAATTTCTTGTTTGTAACGTTATCAAGTTATTTAAATCAAAATTGTTTGTCAATGGTTTAATCTTTCATATTATTAAGGTAATACTAAGTACAGTGAGCCTTGTTAATATGCGTCCAATAGACCGAAAGTCTATTGATAAACAAATTTCTGTAGATTAAGAATCTGAAACCGTTATTATGATATGGTTTCAAATAATCAACAGAAGAGAATTTGTAATTTAAAAAAAATCCATATAACGGGTGTTCAGTAGAAAAAGTTATCAAATGTGTTGTATTTTTGTTAATCCATGCTACTATGTATAAACGACATTTGATAGGGTTGCTGAAATGTGAGAAAATCGAGTCCAAAATTTCCAAAAATTTTACTTAAGTCTCCTTAATATGTGTCTAATAGAGTGAAACTAACTGCCTGATAAATTATGCGCAGATTACGAATGTTAAGTAATCGATGCGAACAATCTTCAGATAAGCGAGAAAAATGAGTTTGAAATTAAAAAAAGCAAGAAAACTCGTTCATAGGTGTCTGATCTAGCGGATCAAGAGGTCATAAGCATGATTTTTCGTAGATTACGAATGTGAAGTCATTGTTGGGATATCTTTACAAATAACCAAGAAAATCAAATTTGAATTTCTAAAAAAATTACCTGATGTGTTAAATAAATTGAATGCATCTTGGTACAAAAGCTGAGACATACTAAATAATGTTTGAGTTTGTACAAATTATGGTTAATTTTTTTGTGAATTTTTCATTTTGGATGATACTTTACTGAAAAACTATACAGGTTGTCCTAGACAAAACTCTGCGAGAACGGATATAAATAATACTGAAATTCTGCAAACGCCGTTGTTTTTAACTGTTGCAATATTTCGTTGCTGCCTGGCGAAAATGGCTACATTTTTTAAATCTGAAAAACATTTATTATGAAAATTAAGTCGAACTCGATGACCAGCTCACAGTCCAAATTTAATGCCCTGAGATCTATTTTTGTGGTGATACATAAAAAAATGCGTATTTGAGACCCTTGCGTGATTTAGAAGATTAAAAAAAGTGAATTAGGAGTGTTTGTGCCTCTTTAACACGTAATACTCCATTAACCACCCCAAATCGCAAACTAATGTTTTGTGTTCAGCGTGAAAGACGACAGTTCGAACATATTATGCTTAAATTACGGTTTTTGAAACATATCTCTGGGACTAAATGTTTGTAAAATAAAGTGGGAATGTTTTATTTTAACTCTTTTTTTTTTTAATTCATAAATATTATTCTTTTCGACTGAAAATTAATTAAATATATCATTGTAATTACAATTTAATGATCTATCACAATTCGTCACAAGTATATGTTGCAAATTAAAAAATATATAGTTTATTTGCAATGTACTTAATTAAGCATCCCCCTTCAAGCTAGAAACAAGGGCTTTTACAGGATTTGTATATCTCTATCCGTTTTCAAATTATAGGACCGCGAAGCTTTATGTGTATTCTAAAATAAAAACGAAAAAGCACAATTATACATAGTTTGAAAAAGTGAGAAAAACAGAAATTATTAAGAACAACAAACAGTGGTGAATAACTTGTTCAGACAGAAGTAAAATCAGATACAAAAATTTGGGTGTGAAAATGTTTAATAGAGTAAGAAAATTACTCCCAAATTAAAAAACTACTAGGGTAAAAAAATTAATCGTAGGTGAAAATATTGATCAAAGCAAAAAGCATCGACAGATTAACATAACATTGACTGTTGGTATGTATTTTCAATAACAAACCTCAAATTAACCCGACAATCGCGTTTTAGTTGGTTTTCAGGCATTGATATCTGCAAGTCTACCCATCAATAAATTAAAACCATGAATATTCATAAGCCTACGCGCAAGCGTAAATATTTATAACATTACAAAGAACACCGTTTTATCGCACCTAATCACCAAATAATTAATTTCACTGAAAACACAATGAAAATTTGTTGAAACTGAAAAAAAAAACACTTAAACTTTTTCCACGAGTTCAAGGATCATATTTTCGTTCACTAACGTCTGACTCAGCTCATTATGCAAAAGACAGCACGAACGTGGTGTTTATGTAGATTACATATGAATGAATTAAAGCAAACAGTGGAAGAAACAAACTCACCGCTACTTTGCCCAAAAGGTGCCCCCACTGCCACTGCCACACCGACAAAATACTCTCTCTGCCGCCATCGACCGCCAAGACGTAGCTTCCTCCATTCTAAAGAATCAAGTAGAAGTAAAAGACAATAATTTACAAGAAATGTTAAAGTACCAGTTGTGAGAAGGCAACCGCGGCAACTCCGACTTCAAATTCACCCATACCAAAAACGTAGAGCGTTTGAAGGGTCTCGGTACTCCAAATACGGATATGTGCCTGCGTTTTGCGATTACGTCCTGCTCTCTGACCTGAGGCTACCATTTCGCGGGAGGGGTGCAAGTCCATACTAAAGAAAAAACAAAAAAATTAAAAATATACATATCAATTTTCGTTTCGTTCGATGATACCATTGAATGTCTTCCGTATGTCCAGTGTAGTGCCTTTGCGCTTCTTCATCTCTGTCGTACATAACGGCAACAGCTGCCACAAAGTAGAGGAGTTCTCCAGTAGGAAGAACCCACAGATTTCTTCGTGAATCGGTCCCTCGATAGCCGTAACTAAAATTCGTTAAGGAAATTTTCCTTTTAATTTTAATTGTGGTGGGCTAAGGATTATTTTTAGCAAACAATAAGTTTAAAGAATGGTCGTTAAACTTCCATTAAAGCAGTATTAAAGCGGGTCCGCCTTTTTCCACTTTCCTTGCGAAGAATTGCATCTAGACATGCTACTTTTTAGTGATTTGAAAAGGATACACCCATTCTAGTTGCATTTTCTTGTCGGGGGGAGAGTTGTCCATTGGGGCGTGATGAATGGGAGGGTAGAACGTCCTCCTCAACCCTTTAATAGTGACTCGTACCGGCTCTTCTTTTAGCACTTCTAATAGAGTATAATCTAAAAACTTCAATCAGCTTGATCTAAATAAGAAGAAAGCGAGATTTACCGTTGTTTCGAACGATTTCGTTTTCTGGGGCGTACAAAGCTCGCGGTCTACTTTTACTCCTCGACCTTCTTTGTTTACTAATGTCTTCTACGATGGCTGTTTGAGGTGCCCGCGATCTCGCTCTTCGTACAGGCGACAACATCACACCCCCCACACCACCTCCCACACTCCCAACTCCCAAATAAAAAGTATCTACATCGGCAAACTCGTTCCTTAACTGCGAAAAACTGCGCACTTCTTGCCCTGACACCGTATACATCCTTTTAGCACCGCTCATCTTCAGAACCTGCCCCAAGTCTTCCAGCACCTCTTCGAAAGGTTGCGACGTACGAAGATTTAGAAGAACTCGGCACTATAAACAACTCTACGTTTTTATCAATATTTCTTTCGCATGCAAAGCTGCTATCGCCCCTTGATCTCGTTTATAATAACTTTTACCTTGCGAAAGAAACTCGATTTACCTGTACAGTATGGTCCATGTTGTTGATGATCCGGATCACCCTGCCGGAGCTGGGCTTGATGGTGCCGCCGCCTCCCGGCGGCGGCGCGTCCGTCTCCGCGATGGACGCCTTCCTGCTGGTGGCTTTGCTCCAGCCTTGCCCCCCGGGGGCGGCGTACCAAATCCCATTTTTCTTTCCGTAACTGGCAGCCTGCAAAAATCACGTTGTAGCATTCGCGTGTTGTTTCAAGAAAAATCCGCGACATGAAATCGACACCAATCAATGGCAGTATGTCACGTTTCGGAAAAACACTAACCATGGTGGGGACCGTCACTACAGCGAAAGGTGTGTCTTCGTCTAAGTTAAAATCGAGCATTTGTGAAACGAAAATTTCACAACGACGAACAAAAAATAAAAGAAAATTCTGAACACAAGTCGAGTGGAGTTGCTCGCTCAGGACACGAAGAAAGAATGAGCCGAAGGTTTGACACGAACGATTGTAACTGTGATAAATAATGTATACTGATTGTGCTAATGAAGAAGTGGAGGGGATAGCTCAAGGTCAAAAATGAAGGGTTGCTTGAGAGGGGCTGCATTTCGTGACCGACTTTAATTTCATATCGGAAAATGTTTTTGGCTTTTAAAGGGCCACAACGTATGCTAGCTATTTGCATATAAAGTAGACGAGGTCTTTATGTGAAAAATCACGATTTGCGCTGACCCGGCGCATCCACCATTTTTCGCACAAATCAAATTTTATTAGGATTTTTGACAGGCTTTTTTGGTATGAAATCTTGAAAAACTGGTACAAAACCGTATTTACAAAATTATTTCGATAAGATAATTTTACGTGTAAGTGAACATAAATTATGTAGTTTAAGTTAGTTTAAAAATTTTGCCCCGGCGCGTTCACCATTTTGTGCAAAGCAATAATTATTTTGAAGTCCTTAAATGAGTTCTATTAATACGAAACCGTATTTGCAACATTATTTAAAGATAATAGTTTCACCTATAATTTGAATTAACGACAGAACTAAATAAAATTTTATTGCTGCAGATGTATTTACGATTTTCCGCTAAATAAGTATAATGATTATTTCGATGTCTTTAAATGAATATTATAAATACAAACCACGTTTGTAATATTATTTCAAGAAAATAAGTTCAGTTATAATTTACTTTGGCAAGAAAACTATCAATTAATTTAATTTAATAATTTTTCAATGACTATCCCGGCGCATCCACCATTATTAGAACAATGAACGATTTTATCGAATGATGTCTTATTATGCAGTAAAACTGTTAGTGACGTAGAAACCTTCATAAACCACCAGAGATGCGTTTTCTGTGCAATTAGGAACTGCAATGACCGCCTTGAGAATCGATTTTATATCGTAAAGAATCCATATTCAGAAGGAAATTGTATAATATATGTACATAAATTAGGAAACTTCAGTACAAGTATCGTGATGCAGAAACACCCCGTAAACATTTCGGCAAGGTCTTTAAAAATGACAGGTTGTAGTAAATTGAAGCAAGGACATCGTTACATGGCGCAGCGCAATTTATATAATAATGAGGTGAAAATGTAGGTATGTGGGGTAAGTGTGGAACAATTAAGATTTCTTTGCACTTTTATGTAAATGAGTGTAAATGGAGTCATCATAATTAAAAAGTGGTTGTAACGAGAAGAAAATTGTGTCAATTTGATGGTAATGACGGGGGTGGAGTGGATATTTGCATTTTTCTTCATTAGGATTTCATTATCGGAGGTGGTGATAAGTGGGGATGCGAGGTGGTTTTTTTTCTTAAAAGAGGGAAAGTGTGCGGTGTTAGAGGTAATAAATCATGTCTGTGGGGTTGTGGCAGATACCTTTATTAGTGGGAGCAGTTTGGGGATTAATGTAAATATCAATAGAATTTGGGAGAGGCGAATTATGCCCATTTTATGTATATCTTTTCATGTGGAATTTATTGATGGAATATTTGTAACGGGAGATAAATAGAGTCGTAATAACGATTTTGTTTACCCGCGAAAAAATTTTACATTAAAAGTTTAATGTATTCACGAGGATTGAATTGTACGTACTTTAAAACTTTCGTGCTTTTAAAAGACGTGAGTTCTTTCAACACCATAGATATGCAAAATATGTAAAAATAATTACACAAAAATATTTCAGAGGGATAATCATATTTATTAGTTGTTGGGGTTTATCATAAATTATCATATATTTACATTTAACTTGAATTTACCAAGTAGGTTTAATTTATTTAGGATATTATATTAATCTCTCTCACAACGGATGTTTAAAAACGTCAAATATAAAATCTTGAATTCAATGCTGACTCAGTTGTTGTTGCATACTTCAAAATATTCAAAGAGTATTAACATTCAAATATTCAAGTATTTGGGATTATGAATGTGTTTTAAATTCCGAGGATTTACATTTTATGGACCGTTTAATTGATACGGCAAAGCGATAATTCTTGCTTATTAACTTCCTCGATTCACGAAAAATGTTTGAACTTTTGTATTTTATTGTAAAATGTACAGCAAACAAAATTTAGAAAAGTTGGTTATAATATTTGCAACATGTGTCATGCAAGACCCTTTTATTAAAATCCAAGTTTATTTATTGTATTTGGTTTATGTAATGTCTAATTGTATAAACATGAATGTAAAGTATAAGATCTGATACGTCATCACAACTATTCCATCATTCATATCACCAGAGAAACTTTTTTGGTGAAATAAATTATATTGCAGTCTATTATTATTCAGGAGTTTTGTTGCTATTTTTATCAGACTAAATATCATGATTAGCGTGGGCGGTAGTGAATATTACCCCACATTTAAAGTTATACTTGGCTAAATTTTCCATTTAACGGAAAATCCATGACAAGGTTATATTGTAATGAAGTTTTTGCAGAAAATGTTGGAATGCTGTGACCTATTTTAGCGCTGTCACTTCGGATCCAAATAATGATTTATTTGTGCTAAAATTAGGTGGTCATTTTCATTCTTAAAATACAAGTTTGCTTCTTGTAAAGAAAGCGACAAATATTTCGTATTTTTACGTATGAACAGTTAAAACTGACGAGTATGTAGGTATGTCTAAGTTGATGATGTAGAGAAAGTCGGTTTTTCAAAATTTGTATGCACAATAAAAGGTGAAGTTGACTTGTATTTATCTTTAGAACTGATAATCCTGAGTGTACCGGTTGTCCAGAATGTCAGGAACACCCTTAAGTAGCGAATGCGTGAAAACCTTTTAATTTTGAAGATAATAACATAGTATTATATATTTATTATACCTTTAATGGAGTAGGTAAACCTTGTTGGTAAATGGAATGTTATTAATTTTTTATAAAAATAAGATATTTATAACTTTTGATTAACGGAGATGAACGGCCATTGTAATTTATTGGGGTTTATATTAGAAACAAAACCACTTTTATTGTTTTTATGTCTATTTATAGCGTGACATATTTCGGATATCTAACATCCATCATCAGACGCAATTGTCGAAAACTTAAGAATAGAAAATTATAGTTCATTTTTTTAGGGGCGTGGACAAAATTATGTAACACAATATACATAAACTAAGTGTGACGTTGATTATATTTTCGATTCGAATAAAGTGTTAAGATTAAATGCTAAAACAAATGTAAGAAAAAATTTTAGCTTAATAATAATGTGGCATTTTAAGAAAACATTTTGACCACACATCAATGTTGATGTTTATTTTTTCTTTACAAGACGTATACATTGGTTGAAAATTGTTTAACACAAATCGTCAGGTTAAATTCATAACTTTGTCTGTTATGAGGGAAATAGACGTTAAACATTACCATGGAACAGAAATATGAACTAAACGTTTCATTATTAGTTACTGTAATCATTAAAATTTAATTTCGTTGTTAAACATAGCAAAATAACCCAACTTTAAGTTCACAATTTTTTCAATATTTTTCTTATACTTTACGACATTCTAGATAATGTATCTTCAAGGGATTCGCTATATTTCAGTCAGCCTGTATATTATTAAATCAATGCTAGTATGTTGCCAATTTTGAAAAAAATCGTTTCGTAGATTCTAGATCTTTGTTTTGACAAATTTTATAGTGTTTAAAATAATCCTCAAAAGTATTTTTAAAAATTTAATACATTAATAAATTACAAATAAAAAAAGCGTGTCAGCTGGTAAATTTAAAAAATGAGATACTGCACAAAAATTTGAGGTGACGTTCCTAAATTTTGGAAACGGTTAATAAACGATCTACTTTTCGAGATTTACCATGATGAGAATCATATTAAGGCGGGTACAAAATTTTCCTGCAAACGGGTTTGCAAGTGGTTGAATTGTACAATTTTTGTTCTACAATTCTGATTTTTTGTAGACTTACTCATGTGAGGTTAAAATTAGAGGTGGATTAATCTTGTCATAGGTATTAGCATTTTATTCTGCACATTTTAAACAAGGTTTACTTGTAGCGAAATTTTAAAATAACGTCATTAAATTTTTGGTAGGGATGGTCAGACAAATTTTGGTAAGTGTACTTGAAAGATATTCTTAAAATATTTGTGAAACATCACAACATTCATCAATGTAGTAGTTATGGAGATTATTATCTGTCTAATAAAATCGTTAACAGACGATAGACAGATAAGAAGGGAGACTTACTTTTTCCTGTTCTACATTATATTATATAAATTAGTTGTTCTCCAAATGGTTCTAATAACCTATTTGTTCTCTTAGGTTGTAATTCAGTTTGAATACAGGTTGAATATACAAATTTAAGTGAGTTTGATTTTATTTGGATAACTTCTTCGCTACCCGAGCGTAAGCTAATGAAGTATTGTAATAGGACCCATTCGGCGATTGGTTGTTTTCTTGATGTTTCAAGACCCTAGAAGATAAAAAATAGCTTTCCCGTTTCCCTCTGTCTGTCGCCTGTCATTTGTGTTGATTTCTCTTAGACAGATAATCTCCAAAACTACTGGACCAATTGTCGTCAAATTGTTAGTTGTTATTATGAGTACAATGCAGATGGCAAAACGCTAACCAAAATGTGTCTAATCGTTTCCACCAGCAGACTGATGACGCCTACACTAAATGTTTTTTAGTAAAAGTCATTTAAATTTTGTGTGGTTTATAAATTTGTCTCGATTTTGTTTATTATGATTGGAGTTTTAACTTCTTCCTTTT